TGACCCAATTTTTTACAAATCCGAAACACCCCAATCTATACCTGAAAAATTTCAGGTCGAAAAGATTTGGAATTTTGGGGTTTAATTTTGACACCCCTACTTGAAATGATACATTTAATTATGATATTATTTTTTTATTTTTTTATATAAGAGGTGTTAGAATTTTGGAAGAAAATTATAAAAATGTATTGTTGATCATCAAAATAAGCGGTTTATATATATATTCGATACAATACAAAACAAACTCGGTAGATTCAAATTTAAGTAATATAATATATTGATAAGACAAAATCTAAATATAAATCTACTACATCTAAAATTGAATATCCAAAATATCTAAACAATGTGTATTATTAATAGTTTTAAAATAAGAAATAATGTATATGATTAAAATAAGTTTAGGATATTTATTTAAATATTTTACAAATTATATCTCAATTAAATATATGTAATATAAATATTACTTTTGTAAAAAATAAAATTTTATATAATACAAATAAATAAAAGTATATTTATTTATTTATGATTAACACAAATTAATTTTATAAAAAAAAAGAAAAAAAAAAGAGAGTTCCGTAGATAAAAAGTACTATATGTTACCGAAAAGAGATATAAAAATAAACTTATTTTGAATAATTCCTAAATAATATTTTCTCCATCCTTTAATAATTTATCAATTTTTCTATTTTGATATCTTTCATAAGAAAATATTCATTTCTTTTTTAAACGGTACTTTCTACTAATATTAAAAAATACTCTTACAATTTAAAATATATAATGTCATTACTTTTATATCTAACAATGCTAATAAAATTATTTAATTATTTTACTTTATTCATACAGTACCTCAATATTATACTAATATTCCTAAAACTCCGTAGAAAAAGCAAACGGATACATACACAAGAGACGGATGGAGTATATGATATTATATTTGTAAAATTAATTTATATTTATTAAATTAATAAAAGTTACCAAATATAAAAATATATATTTGTAATAGGAAACAACTAAAATAGAATCATATCATTTAAAATGGAATAAAGAAAATATATCTCCGTAAATAAAAATAATTGTAATTAATATAGCATAGAGTTAAAATTATATATCCATGGTTTTATTCATATTACTTTTTCTTCTTTATAATTAAAATTTCTATTTTTTTAATTTTTTCTAAATGGCAGATGAAGTAATATACTCTTTCCGTCCGGGACAGATGATCCATTTTTCCTTTTTGTCGGTGTCTCATTAAAGATGACCTATTTCTATTTTTAGTAAATTTATTCATCTTAAACATATTTAACAAATATAAATTAATTTAATTAAATTTCTAACCTCTTACACTTAGTATTAACTCAAAACACTTTTATTTCTATATCTCTCCTCAATAAATAAATATTTTTATCTATATTTAAAATTTTTTATTTTTAATAAAATTAGTTTTAAGTTAATTATAAATAAACAAATTAATATTTTTAATTATTTGTATTATATAAAATTTTATTCTTTATAAAATAATTTTCATATTGTATATATTTTATTGATATATAATACTAAAAATATTTAAAATATTAATAATACTACTCATATAAAAATAATAAAATAATATTATAATTTATTATTAATAATTTACTAATCTATATTACCTTAAAAAAAAAAGTGTTCTAAGCAAATGGGCCATCCCTCACCGAGGGATTATTTGGTAAGTATTGTTTTAAATTGAAAAAAATTGAGATAAGTAATCGGCGGAGAGAGTAGGAATTGATACTCTCCCCGGTGCGGTCAATCATTATGGCCACGTGTCGAGAGATCCAGCGTTTCAGAGCATGGTTTGTTCGTCATCCATTGGCTGTGACGCTGAGCTCCGTCAACGACCGGGGAGTGACTTGAACCGACTGGGCAGCGGTTTTGTGACGTGTGTGGTGAGGCTCATCATGACACAGTTACGTGGCTGTGAACTCACTCACTCCCTTTTTTAGAAATAAAAATTTGAAACTTCTATATATAGTTATATTATATTTTACTCTCTCCCTCCCATATATCATGTCTAAGTTGCTGTTTCTGTCCATCCCATATACCATGTCACTTTTCTTTTTTTAAAAAATGATTATACACTTTAATCTCATTTTAAATTTTTAAATTTTTTTAAATTTTAATTAAATTAATTAGTTATCTTAATCTTAATTTATAATTATTTATATTATAGAATAATTATTTTCACTAATATATTCTTAATTATCTACTAGTTACACCCCTCCTAAAACACCGTATCTACAGTGTAGCAGACACGATACGTGGGACAGAGGTAGTATTATTTGCTTGTATATTTTACAAAGTTTTTAATATTTGTGAAATTAACATATTAGTTTTCAAATCATTTTAAATAATAAGATTCAAGATTAAAATGCATTTTAATAGGACCATCCATGGTTAGAGCTGTTAACAATCCGAACCGAGTTGAACCGAGCTAAATTTTAAGTATTCGTTAACATTCGCAAAGAAGGCTCGTGTTCGTTCGTTAAGCTTTCGAGTTCGTTCGTTAAGCTTTCGAGTTCGTTCGTTAAACTTTCGAGCTCGTTCGTAGTGTTCGAACTCGTGTTCGTATTCGTGTTCGGCTTGTTTAGGCTCGATTAAGCTCGTTTAATTTAGTTTGTCTTATTTTTTTAAATTTATATATAAATTATAAAGAAATTTTAAAATTATTTTATTTATATATTTTAAATTAATATTTTATTTATTTATAAATTATAATTTTATATATATATAATATTTATAATAAATATATTATTTAAACGAACGTTCGCAAATAAAGTTCGGGCTCGTTCGTTAATCAAACAAGCTTGTTTATGTTGTTCGGTTCGGCTCGTTAACATTCGCAAACGAGCGGGCTCGTTCGTTAATCAAACGAGTCTGTTTATGTTGTTCGATTCGGCTCGTTAACGTTCGCGAACGAGCGCTCGTTCGTTAATCAAACGAGTATGTTTATGTTGTTCGGCTCGGCTCAGCTCGTTAATGTTCGCGAACGAGCTTTAACCGAGCCGAATCGATCAAAACCGAGCCAAGTTTACGAACAACTCGATTCGTTTAACATCTCTATCCATTGTGAAGAGAGGTTAAAAAAATTTACGGATTTCATTTAGAAGTATTTTGTTCTTCCTGTTTTTATTTTTATTTTTTAAAAAATTATTATTAAAAAAACAATTATTTATTTAATTAGTTTATATAAATATAAAAAAATACATGAATCAGAAACGTGATTGGAGCCCATCCTACATGAGCTACTGTAGACACCACTGAAGCTGCTAGGCTTACGAGTCAGCGGCCTTCTCCTCCATGTGTCTTGGTCCTTTTGGTTTTTTTAATACTCCTTTTCTTCTGAAATATCAGTCATTGAGGTTCAATATGGTATTTAAAAAATAATAATATTATATTAAAAATTAATATAAAATAGATAGTAAAAAATTAAAATATTTATATAAAAATAATGATATGTGTATATTGATAATAAAAAATAAAAATAGTTTTAAGGTTATATGATTATGGAACTACTATTTTAAAATAGATAAAAAATAAAAAAATAAAACTATTGTTTTATAATAGAGAGAATATCAATTTTGTAGATACAATAGTAGATGGTAGAGCAAAAATTTGTCTTGTTATCTCACTATTATCAATTTTAGCCTTATTTAAATTAAAATTAATTAATTTTAATTTTATGATAATTATCAGAGATGTAATATGACTGTGTTACCGCGAACACAACTTTGTTGAATGACTTAAAAAGTTGACTAAGTTTTATAGATATCCAACACGGCTGTGTTGGATTCAACACGGTCATGTTCATTACTTTGTTCTGAATTTGGCCGTGTTTATGACCATGTTCATGGTCATATTCTGAACTTGACCGTAATTCTGTTCGTATTCATATACGTATATAGAAATAGTCATGTTCATGTTTATGCTCATGGTCATGTTCTTAACATGACATTATTTTGAAAATGATTATGTTTTAGATCATATTCACTATTATTTTTACTTTTTGTTTAACGGAAAAACTATGTTTTTAGTCCTGCAAGAGGACCAATTGTATAATAAAAATTTACTTACAGAACTAAAATAATAAATTGATTAATTACGAGACTAAAGAAAATTCTATGTGTCCTTAGGATGGCGCCTACTTGGCGGACACCTATGCTCCGGTATGCCAAACGGGTGTTATATGCGCATCTCCGGCGCTAGAGTACCAATTATGCCAAAACATTTTACTTACAATTTTTTATACAGACTTCAGTTACAAGACTAAAATGATAAAAAAGTGAGTTACGAGAGTAAAAAAAAAAAATAGTTTTCCATTATCTATATTATTTGATATATATTTATAATTTAATGAGAATATTTTTAAAATTATTTTAAAATATAAAAAATAATTAAATATTAATATTTTAGAAAAATAATATAAAAAATAATAAAATAATATATTTTTTTAATAATCGTAATTATATATATCTTTCAAAATTTATAGGAAATTTGTAAATAATTTTAATTTATAATTCTAAAAATAAAATTACAAATTAGTTTAATTTATAATAACAATATAGGTTCATAGCGAGATAATATGACATAATAGCAATGATAGTCAAGAAGATGAATGGGGGGCGGGCTTACACGAGTAGAACGACAAATAGTGATAGTAGGGACATCAGAAAAGGGCTCAGCACAGATTCAGGTGACACAGACAGATCTGTTGGAGAAGACGAGGACGGAAAAACTAGAGAGAAATCATGTGTGAGAAACTATAAAGTAGAATGAGATGGGACATTAAATTCGGAAATCGATGAAAACATCTTATGCTCCCATAATATGACGTGGCAAGGGATATGAAGACGCTTAGACATGGGATCCCAACATCGATAAACCTTATTCTTTATCTCATAACTCAGAAAGCAACACAAATAAACCCGCGGTTCAAACTTAGTGTATTTATGAGGTGGAAGGAGGACAAAACAGATACAACCAAACGGACAAATAATAGAGTAATCGGGGGACTGACCGAATGGCTTGGCAAAGTGAGTGGCACCGTGAAGAGCAGAGAAAAGTAACCTATTTATGATGTAGACAGAAGCAAGAGTGGTTTCTCCTTCAGAAGCGATCAAGACATGAGGCGGAAAAGAAAAGCGCACTGACTATATCAAGGATGTGATGATGTTTGCTCTCCGCACGACCATTTTGTTGGGATGTGTATAGACAAGACAGTTGAATGGAAGTACCTTGAGCGTAAAAAAAATTGAGAAACACAAAATCATTATACTCTGGGCATTATTAGTCCGTAATGTGTGGATGGTATGGTAAAACTAAATATGTATCATTTTGGTAAATGGAATATAAATAGATGTAAGTTTATATCGTTATTTTAATAAGTAAATCCAAGTAAAATGAGAAAATTCATCCAAAAATATTATAAAACATTTGTACCCAATCATCGATGCTACCGGTGAAGGACCTCAAATATCCGAGTAAACTAAAAAAATTAGTTTATCAACAATAGAGAGATTTTGAGAAAAAAGAATTGCAAATTGTTTCACCAAGCTTACGGTGCGTACAATCAAAAGACTTAAGATGTACAGAATCTAATACACTTTTACTGATGAGAGACCGTAGCTTTTGTGTGGATGCATAATCTAACCGAAGATGCCACTGATAACCAGTTAACCACAAAGGAAAGAGGAAATTGCAACTGAAAGGGATAGAGAATAGGGGGTCTGAAAGTGACTGAACTTACATAATCAACCCGTCTTGCACCACGTCCCAAGAAGATGACCCCGTCTCCAAATCATGAACCTGTATTCCAGAAGATGAAAAGATAACAGTAAGACATTTCTCAACTAATTGACCAACCGACACAAGGTTTAAGATAATTTAAGACTCACAATAAATATTAGAAAGGGATAAGGATGGGGACGAAATATGACCGGTGTGAGTTATGTGCATATGTGAGTCATTAGTTGTGTGTATGGGAGGTAAGGTCGTAGTGGGAACAGAGGAACACAAAAATTTGGTATTAAACATCATATGATTACAACATGTAGAATCAAAATACAAATAGATGTTACCTGAAGATGTATGATGATCATATTTGGCATAAAGAACTAAGAAAGAAGCTTGTGAATGTCCTGAATAGTAGGAGGCGAGGCCACAATAGATTGCAGAACATTTATAGCAGTAGCTATGGCAGAAGAACTACCAACCTGAGAAGAAGAGCGACTACAGCGGGGACAATTATGAATGACATGTCCTCGAAGATGGCATTAGTGATACTCGACTCTGGGGCACTGAGTATATGGATGATCAACATTCTTACATCGACTATATTTATTGGACTGAGTCTGACGAGAAATGGGACCCCGGAAAGGAGGACCAGAAGACTGAGATGTGACAGCCAATGCAGAGTCCAATATAGATGGCCGAGTGAGTATTAGGCGAGTCTCCTCAAATATAATCTCTTTCATAGCAACATCCAACGAAGGAAGATGATGACAATGAAATAATGAGGCACGAACATATTCAAATTCTAGACGGAGCTTTATGAGAAGTTGAATGAGCTGAAGGTGATCTGGCTTAATTGCCTCTTGATCGAGGCGAGCTCAAAGAGGTTAGATGGTAGAAACGAAGTCATTCATAGACTGTCCCGGTTCATGTGCCAATTCGTTCAAGGAGCTGAGGAGCTGATAGTAATGTGTGAGACCGGTAGCCTGAAATCACGACTTTAAATAACCCTAAGCTTCTTGAGCAGTGTCAATACGGCGAAGCTAAATCTGAATAGCCTAACTAAAAGTATTCTGAAACCATATAAGAATCTGAGGGTTCTTCCTATCTCAATCCTCTAATTGTTTTTGGTAAGTGAAAATATCGTGTGAAGTTTGAGAATTATTTGAAGTAACTATAGTCTTGATAGGCGCCATAAAATCTTCCGTAACAATACGCCACAGTTTTCTGCCAATAAAAAAAAATAGAATTGAATCAACCCAAAGATCATAATTGTCACCCATCATGACAATAGCAATAGGAAAGAAAACTTCAATATGCTTCATAAAAGAACTCTGAAACCAAATAAATAATATAGATTTACTCTTTCCAAATCAAGTTCCGCAATGACGATCAAATCAAATATCGAAATAGAGAATAAAATATCACTGAAACAGAGAATAAAATATGCGTCAGAGGTGGCCGAACACCTGTCTGGAGTCAAACTCCGGTGAAACAGTATTGCGGCGAGTCAGACCAAAGCAAATGCAGAGGTGGTCGGACTCTTGGCTAGCACGAACTCTAGCAAAACAAACACGACGGGATGACCGACGCGATTCGCATTTCCGGAGGCGGCCGTGGGATTCGAGACACTGGTTGGTCTCTTCGATGCGGAGGGGATGGCGATGGCGGTGGCGGTGGTGGAGTTTATATAAAACTTATAAAGTATGAGTTCTACTAATATTCCAATGTATAACTTTATTTATATCCCAACAAATATTTTTAATTATTTTTAGAATTTATATATATTATTAAATGAATAATATGTTGCGCTTATTATGCTTAGATATAAAATTTAGACACAGTATAAGCATAGACCTCATATGATAGAAAAATAAATAATATACAAAACACAACACCAGCATACAATATATGGACATATAACATATAAATTATTTTAACATAATACAAACACACGATATAAAGATAAACAATACAACAAATAAAGATAGAGAACACACTGCGTAAAAACAAATAAAATATAAATTATATTAACATAATATGAATACAATGCATTATTACACCACATGACATGGTCTTACGCAATACATGATATATGAAGAGACAATGTATATATTATATAAAAATCAACATGAAATAAATTATTTTAATACAATATAAAAATAACATATAAAATAACAATATATAATATAGTTTCACACAATTATAATTGATTTAAATACAAGAAGTACATCAATACAATACACTTATATGATTTTTTCATACAATGAATATTGTATTAAATAAAAACATGTGATGTATTCCCTCCGTCCCAAACACCCTGCAACATTTCTTTTTTGGTATGTCCCAAACACCCTGCAACATTTTCAAAATAGGAAATAATTAATTATATTTAATTTCTATCCTACACTTTATCCTCTCACATCATCCAAATAAAAAAATAAAATATATATTTCTCTCTCCATCACATCACCTAATTTCTAAATTATCCTACTTAATACTACTCACCTGAAAACTTGTGCCAAAAGTAAATGTTGCACCTTGTTTGGGACGGAGTGAGTATTATTTAACTATTTTATATGTAATAATTGAAAATTAGCATAGTACTTTTATAGTATTATTTATTTTGTCTTAATTTTAGTAATTTTATATATTTTACAACATGATGCATATGTAAAAATGGATAATTCTAATTTCTTTAAAATTGTACAAGAAAATGGTAACTAAAAAAATAAAAATATATTAAAATAATTTCTAAATAATGGAAAAAAATTCATCACATAATTATTAATGCTATTACTTTTATGTGATGAAATAAGGATAAATGAAGACCAAACAATACTATAATAGAGAAATTATTCTAAAATTTTGAACTTTCAATTTTTTATTTTTTTTTCTAAATTAATTTTTAGGTTCTAACAAGTTCTTTTAAAAAATTTATTTGGTTTCTAAAATTTTGAACTTTCAATTTTATTCTTTTTCTAAATAAATTTTTATGTTCTAAGTCCTTAAAAAAAATTTATTTACCAAATAGTTAATTAGCCAAGTAGTTGAAAATTATCTCATAAGTTAAAAACAGAAGAAAAAAATAATTACCAAACACATCCATAATTTTGTTTTTTTTTTAAAAAACGGAAGGTCGATTTGAGATTTTATTTAAATAATATTTTGATATAGTGTGTTGTGAAAAAAATAATATATTTTTATTAAAAATTATGTCAAATAAATAATAGTATTGATTTTGATTTAAAATAGTAAAAATACAAATGGATGATGTCGAACAATTAATTTATATTATAATATTTAAATATAAAAAATATCAATATTCATTTATCAACCAATTAACAAAAGAAGTACACTAAGGTTGAAAAGTATATTTTTATCATAATAATAAGTTGAAAATATCCAAAATTTAGGTGTATTCTTTTTATTTTTGGAATTTTGAATTTTGAATTTTAATTTAAATATTATTTCAATATAATAATAGTCCTAACTAATTTAGTAAACATATAATTTTTTATACTATTCTATTTTTGTAATTCTTTGTAAAATATATGATTATTTTATTGATGATTTAAATACATTATTATTTCTCATTGAGATTTGGAGGCCTAAATATTACTCCCCATGTAATATGGGTATACTACTGTAGACACGATAATTTAGGTAAAGTATAATTAGTAAGTAATTAAAAAATATATTAGTAAAAATAATTATAGATTAAGATTAAGATAAGTAAATAGTTTAATTAAAATTAAGAAAATTATAAAATTTAAAATTTAAAATGCCACTAAAATGCATAATTATATTTTCAAAAATATAAAGGACAAGTTACGTGGAACAGACGAAAATAAAAAATGAGAACAAATTATGTAGAACCAATGGAGTATTAAAAGTGGGATGACAACTAAACTATTACAAGGAATAAATCAAACAAAATTTATTGGACAAATTAACAGGGGAATATAGAACAGCAATAGTGATGGCATCGATTAATAATCATTAGATCATTAAACAAATAAAATAAAATAAAATAAAACAAAACACAATACTTCAATTATTCTCATAATTAAAATAAAAACATATCGTTCGCCTAGTATGACTTTTCCGTCGGACCTAATTTGCAAGGTATTAAATTTGATCGGGAGTTTACCCATATTTTCAGATAGCAATTGCGGATTTCACGTTATAAAAAAAAAATAATAATAATAATAATAAAGCAAATGTGAGGGGCACATGCCTATTATATTATAATTATAAAAAATTTAATTATTAATTATTTTTTGATAACATTTATATAATAATATAAAAGTTTAACATTATCCAAATTGAAGTGGGCCCACAAATTCCACACAAAAGCAATTTGCCATTCCTTTTTTAGGGTCCTTTTGCTGTTTGTATTGTTTGTAACTTTGCTGTACTTGTTCTTTCATTTTATTTCTTTTCTTTCTACACCTTTGTAACATTATTTTACAATAAAAAAAATTATTTGATTGTAAATATTTATTATTCTTTAATTTATTTGTTTTGGAAGAATAATATTTTATTACTTTTTAATTTTATTTTTTATTTTGACATTTTCTTGACATTTTCCTCTTTTAGGTTTCAAACTCAAAGTCGGAAAGAATAAAATATTTTATCGATTTCTTAACAATATATTAATTTTTTTATTTTAGTCTATTTTATAAAAATTATCAATTTTTTTTAGTAGTTTTATTTTTTACTAGCATTAAAAATATTTTTATTATTTATTATATATATCATATAAATATTATTTTTTTATATTATATATATTATTTTAATTTTTTCTACTTTATTCGTATCATATTTGTACAGACGGATAAATAAATAGGAGATGGAGTAGAAAAGGAAAAATGATTTTTTTCGCTGGCGGGTTGTGCGACGCGTGTCCAAATGTAGGGCCCACAAATGTGGTTGACGCAATGATGGTGCACCCGCGGGTGACGGAATCAAAGCCCAGCTAGAAACTCCCCCAAATCGACACTGTATGTATCATGTATGTATATGTGGAGAGAGAGAGAGAGGGGGTGTAGAGAGAGATTGTGAAGTTGGATAGTCGTCTTTAAAATTCTGCACTGTATCTCACTCCTTCAAAACCGAATCCTGTTGCATTTAAGTTCTCTCTAATACAGTATCGCTTTCTTGCCCCAAAATCTAGGGTTTTATTTTAATCTTCGTCAATTCGCGGCAACGCAGGTAGTGATTTTTTCCGGCTTTCACGAGTCAATTTTTGTGCGATTTTTTTTGAGCGCGACTTGTTTTTGTTGCATGTGTTGGTTTGTACATCTGATTGTGTGTTTGTATGCATGTGTGTATTTCGGCCTTCGTTGAATTTCCTTGGCTTGGGTTCCTGTCGTTTTGTGATCTACGATTGTGATTTGTATTGTTTTAATTGTTGGCTTGTTTGGTGGCGATTTTGTTCTGGGCGAAGAAAGAAGAAAGTCAAGGAGCTTCTGTTTTTCTGATTTGAGTAGTTTGGACCTAATTTGAAAGATTTGGTTGATAGGTTTGTGGTTCGATAGATTGGTTTGATTGCGGTTTGACAATTATTTGTTTCTTGAAATTTCTGTTAGAATTAATCTCTTAAGGAAATTGCGAAGTAAATATCAAATTTTGATGATTGTAGTTCAAGTTGGGTTAGTATTGTTGTTCTTAGAGAGGTAGTTTACTCTGAAATTGCTTTTGAAGAATTGCCATAGTTCTCTGAGAAATTATGGAAAAAGAATTGTGGAACTTAAAACTCTGAATTTAGTTCAAGGCAGGGTTCATAAAGTGGCGCCTAAAAAACTATGATTTTCGAGTACGGAAGAGAGTCTAATGAAATCACCACAAGCCAGTTGATAAGATAAGGCCATTTCATGTCTTTGCAATGTGGATACACATCTTCTCGGTTTTGGTGGGGTGAACATTAGCATTTGTATTTGGCCAATGGGAAGATTAAGAAATGCTATATTGATCACAGAATTTTATACTAACTGGAATTCTAGAAATGAAATTTCTTAAGATTATATTGAATATCAGGTGAAAGTGAAGCTATTACTTTTGTACCATCTGTCTACACATGTCGAGAACTTCAGACTTAGAGTAAGCTAAGAACTTCAGACTTAGTGGCTTGTAGGTAGGTCATATTGTGGTGCTCAATAAAGTTCTACGTGTCTGGTTGTTTTCTTTAACCTGCTATTTTGCAGTTTTGTAATTAAATTCTTCTTTCCTTCATTCTTTTGTTGATCCATTGTTCGCAGTTGACATTTGAGTGCAATGTTTGAATCATGGAGAGGGTTTTGGTTACAGGAAGATGCTTCCTGAATTTTCTTGGTAGATGGTTATCTAAGCCTTGATTGTTTGTGACTTTTGTGAAGGTGAATTGGTTCGTTTGTTTGGACGGATTAGGGAGCATCCCAGCATGCAATCCAATACCAAGAGTGTCAAACAAGGAGAATTGAACCTGTATAATGCTGCAAAACCTGCTATGTATTCAGATCCTTGGTGGAACAATTCTGGTTATCATTCAATTGCGCCAGCAGTAGTGCCGAGAAGTGCATCTGATTCATCATCGTTGGAACAATCTGTGGATGGACACTCACAGTCTGAAGGTGGGACGGGGGTAAATGAGGAAGATGATGATAGTACAAAACGATCGCGAAGTGCTACACCTTTGCAACCAGGTACTGTACTGTTTTGGTATTTCTAACTTGGATGACCTAATGTAATGTGCATATGATCTTAGGTAAATTTCCGTTTTGTTAGGTTGTAATAAACATATGTTTTTTTTCTGTGTACATCCATCCACGCCACTTGTAGTGGAGGTGAAATAGTCTCTACTGATTTTGTATAGCACATAAGCACAATCTATAAACCAACTGCATTTGGAAGAAGCATTCAAATTTTGCAACAAAAAATAAATAAATAAAGGGAAGATTGGAACAGATATGAAGAGAATCCTGTCTTCTTGTTGAGCAAAGTTCTGTTAAAGTGTTAATGGGGGTGCCAAAAAATATCCATTGGTTTATTAATTGTTATTTCTTTGCTCAAACATGAACTTTTGGAACAAAATGAACTTTGATACTACTGATTGGCTGTCAATTTCAGATGGAAATGATAGGCAGGAGGGTCCGAATCTCCAGCAAGATCAACCCACCTTGCAGCCAAGAAGTAATGGAAACCTTACTCAGGGCCCACCCCCCTTTGAGATTGTTGGACACTCTGCTGTAAGCATATTGCAATCATAAATACGAATGTTGCTCGCTATTTTTTTTGAACCAATAGTTTCTTTGGAAGTTTCTCAACATGGAACCTGATCTTTTCAGCCTTGTGTTTCAAATCCGTACGATCCATATTATGGAGGAATGATGGCAGCATATGGACAACCTTTGGTATGATAATTTTCGTGTCTTAGAAATTTAAATGACGTTTGGTTTTTGGTAGCTTCTACACATTCTGTTGCAGAAAAGGAATATGGTAGCTTTTACACCTGCATGTTTCTTGTGCATTTGAATCTTTTTTCCTTCGAAAACAAACTTTCCAGGATTATGAAAATCGATTTTGGTCATTTTTACTTAGTACATCTATCATTTCCAAATCCTAATTTGCTACTAGCATTTTTTATGATCTGTAATGTGAAGCAACCTGATTGATGCCCATTCTGCTGAAATGATCTTCACATACTCTGCTCATGTACACAATTTCCGCAAATTTCTGTGCTTTTATGACTAAATTGCCATTGATGATGATCCGCTTTTATGCTCGGCTGATAGTTAATATCTAGCATTCTGTTTGTTTCTGCATTGGGTAATCTCAATATTCTAATTTGGGCACGGGTTATGCCTCAATCGTATTTTGCTACATCTGATTTTTAATGTTTTGTGATTGATGGAAATTTGTTTCTTTTCTCAAGGTTCCCTACCCGTATGAAGTGCATCAGGCAAGGATGCCGCTGCCCCTGGAGATGACTCAGGAGCCCGTGTACGTGAATGCTAAACAGTACCATGCTATTCTCCGGAGGCGGGAGTCTCGTGCTAGACAAGAGCTCGAAAAGAAGTTAATCAAAGCTAGGAAGGTGAGCGCGTCGAAAATTCCAATAATTTGTGCCGATACCCCTTCCGGGCGACGATGGCGAGTAAATACTCTTTGTTATTGCAGCCTTATCTCCACGAGTCGCGACATCAACATGCCTTGAGACGGGTAAGGGGCTCCGGAGGACGCTTTGCAAAGAAATCCGATGCAAATACTTCTAATGGGACAGCTCCCGAGTCGTCTGCAATGTCGCACTCCCTAAGCTCATCGGGTTCCGAAACGACCAAAGCTACTGATACTCAGAACTTCGAGGACTCCGGCAGCGCCAATTTTAGAAACCAAACCGACCTGCAGGAAACGCGGGGTAAGACCCATTCTGGATATGCCGGAAAAGAACCAAATTTAGGCCGGAAGTGGGGAAATGACCACCGTACCCTTGGTGGCATGCAGTGACCGGAAAACGGTGGACACCGGCTTTCTTCAAGCCGGGCGGCAATTCATTCTTGGCTGATCTTTTTCTCTATGTACAAAATGTTTTATCTTGTCGAACGAAAAACGAAAACCCTGACGGTGTTGGAAAACTTGTGTTGTAAAGTATTGTAGGATGTAGAACTTCACCCTCGTTGCTTTCGTTTGATTCTGATCCAAACTTGTTTTTAACCTTTTGCATTTGGTGATTTGAATCAATTGTGGATCTTTTTGAGAGTGTGTATTACTACTATGTGTTATTTTTTTTTTATTTTTTATTTTTTCACTATTTTTGAAATATATTTGAACATGATCGAAAATTGTAGATTTGGTTCAATGAACAACTTGAGGGCTTGTAGTGAAACAAGAATGAGACTTTTTCTTTGTCAAATTTATGTGACTTAAGAAAAATCTCTTGTAATTGATTTAGGCAAAGAAAATTGGGGAATGGAAGTTTGGAAGTAAATGTAAAAAGATTGAGAAAAAAAGGACATGCAGTAGGTGCTTGTACTTTTTAATGTGGACTATAAGCACGATTGCAGTGGTAGTACCTCATAATTCATTCCACTTTGTTTGTCAATTTCGTGATCGAAGATTTTCAGGACCAATAAAAGGTGTGCATATAATTTATCGGGAAAAAATTATTTTTTTGGTCTCGCTATAATCAAAATTCATCAATTTTGGTTTCAATATAACTAAAATTTATTATTTTTTGTCCCAATATAATTTTTTTTTTCAATTTTAGTCTCAATATAATTAAAATTCATCATTTTTTGTCTCAATATAATCAAACCTTATCTTTTTTGTCCCATCGTCAACAAACCGACGGAAAATGCTGAAGATTGTACAATTTCTTCAAATATAAATATAAAGTTTGATTTTTTATTTTTTTTTTTCACGTCAGCATTTTCTGTCGGTTTGTTGACGGTGTGAGAGCAAAAAAAGATAATGTTTGATTATATTTGAACAAAAAAAGATAAAATTTGATTATATTTGGACAAAAAATAATGAATTTTGGTTATATTGAGACTAAATTGATAAAAAGTTTATATTAGAACAAAAAATATAAATTTTGGTTATATTGATACCAAAATTGATAAAATTTTTATATTAGAATTAAAATTGATAAATTTTGGTTATATTGAAATCAAAAATATTTTTTTGCCCTAGAAATGGGTTTGTTAATTTTACCTATAGTTAATTTTTGCAAAATATTAATTAAATGTTTTAAATATATTTTTATAAATCTTTGATATTTTGAATTTAAAATAATAATAAGTGAATAAAAAATAAATATAGAATGTAAGTACTTATTATTTTGTACAAATAATTAGTACAGCTTGGATAGAAGCTGACTTTTCAGTCTCTTACACCCACGTCGATCCTTAAGTTTAAATAATATTTCATCTGTCCCGTATTTATATATTTATTATATTTATATATATATATATTTTTTTTATGGAGTATTAGTATGGTATGATATAAAGGTATATTTGTGTAATATATTGTAAATTAAAGTGATATTTGTAATGTTAGGTAAATAGTACCTTACTTAAAAATGAAATGTATACTTTGTCGTGAGACAAACTAAAGTAGAAAAAATTGATAGATTATTAATGGACGAATGAAATATTTAATATCCTATACAATAGTTGATATTAAATTGAAGGATAAATATGTAATTTTATCTTTATCTTGCAGCTATCTTCTTTTGTAATAAAATCCGGGAAAAACCAAAAGAATTGCAACACAGAATATGAGAAAAAAAAAATAAAAAAATCAAATGTGTTAAAAATTTTGAAAAATAATAATGAAATTGTGTTATTGATCAATTAAAATAAAAAACTATATATAGACAATACAAAATATATTCGATAAAAAATATATAAGTATGTATGTATATAAAAATATAAAAAATATTTAAAAATGCTAAAAAAATAATTAAGTATGTTTATGATTTATATTTTAATCTCATACAATTTTTTAGAACTATTATAAAATAATACATAATATATATAATGAAAATTAAACACATCTTTAGTCGTGACAATAAGATAATTTTAATAATTCTTTTAGATATTCTTTGTTTTTTTTAAAAAAAAATATGGTTCTATTGATTATTTTCAAGCAATACAAAAATAAATATATACAATATGTAATTTTTATTCCTTTATTTATTATTATTATTTTTAAATATATCAATTTGAAAGATACAATATTGAAATATATATTTTTTAATGGTATTATTTTAAAATTTTTAAAAATTAATTCTCTTTGTATCGGACTTTAGTTCCGTCTGTGATTAGTTATACTTTTCCATAAGAGTATTTGTTATAATTATTACATTTACTCCATTATTTTTTTTTTTTTTTTTTCTCTCGTCCACTTCATATCTATCACACTTTTAAATTACTTCATTTATCATCACTTAAAATAAATCACATTCAACTCACAATCTTTATTATAAAATGCTAATCACAATAATTTATTTATTTATATTTTATTATGTAATAATATATAAAAAAATTTATTTATTTATACATGTTTCTATATATTTTTATTGTTTAATAATATCTTTTTACATCGTATTAACACATATAAATTTTAATAATAAAAAATATACAATTTAGTATTTTAAGAATTGAATATAAAAGCTAGATAACAAAAAATAAATTTAAAAATAACAGATAAAGTGTCATAATCGGTTAATGAATTTTAAATATATTTATAGATAATTAATGTCAGAATTTAAAATTTAAAATTTAAATTTTTTTTAGATAATACTTAATTATTTTTTATTATTCTTTTCGTAGATAATCCATTATTTGATAAATGTAATAAGTTTATAATAAGAGTGTGTTTGTTTGGGGATTGAATTTTAAATTCACTGTTCATCTTATTTTTTTTAAAAAAATATCAAATCAAATACCTATTTTTTATTTTTTATATTATACTAAAAAATCAATTTTACATTCAAAATATCATATCAACCTTTATTTATATCACATCATACAACTATTCTAATTCACGTGTGATAATAATAAATCTGAAAAGATAAACACAAAGGTAACCAAGGAGGTGATGTTAAGGGATGCTCTAATTAACATTATGGTTTAATTGATTATTTAGGTCTATTTCTTTACATATATTTTTTCAAATTTTATTATTTGGATACTGCATTTTTCGATTTTTTTTATCAAATATTATTTTAATATCAAACCCAAATCAAAATTTTTCAAATTCTACCAAAAGAAACACAGCTAAAGTATTAATATTTTTGTATTTAAGAATGTAATTTTAAAAATAAAATAATTTTTTTTTAGTTTATTGTGAAAAACCAAATACTCCTTTCATTCTAGGTCAAATGATCCCATTTGGTTACAAACATTATTTTAAGAAAAGTAGATTAGTAAATTATTAATAATAAATTACGATATTATTTTATATAAGTAACATTGTTGGTATTTTAAATAATTTTAGCATTATATCTCAATTAAATATTTAAATACGAATATAGATAATTTTTATATAATACAAATAAATAAAAATATATTTATTTATAATTAATTTTATAAAAATGAAAAAAATTTAAATATTAATATTTGAATTGATAATTTTTTTTTAAAGAAAATAGGAAGAAGTCATTTTAATGGAAAAAAAAGGGTTACGGCGGAATTAAGGGAATATAATTTAAGACACACATTGATATTAAAATAAAGAGCATTGAATGAGAAACAAAGAGTTAAAAAAAGTATACTTATTCCGTCTGTCTCAGATGGTCACATTTATTTTTTTTTACGTAATTGTACTTAACATTGAAAATATCTTTATATATGTAAAAGTTTTTGTACAATATTTTTCTACTAGTATTATAAGACATTAATATTAATATTTTTGCAATCTTTTTTTTTTAATTTGTACTATATTTTAATATAATAATTAATATTTAAAGTCAACTCACAAAAAATAAATAGGACCTTAGAGTCCGACGACGGAGATAGTATTAAATTGGAAAATATTAAATTTTACTCTCAATTAAAATTAAAATTATCCCATATGTATAATTTATAATAAATATTAAAAAAAATACTCTATTATTTTAATCAAGATCCAATATAAAATTTAAATCAAACCAAAATCACATTAAATATCTATTTAATTATATAAAATATTACAACAAATATTCATTTCAAAAAATAAAACTTTATTTACATATACATTTTAAAAAATCTTAATATTATTTATAATAATTAAAAAATTCACATAAAATATATATTTAGTCTCATAAAATTTCCAATCAATTATCAAATTAATGATTGTTCTTAACATTTTTCAAAATTATATAAAACCCCAAAAATTCATATCTAAAGTCCTAAACCAACCTACAAAACAAAATAATAATAATAAAAAAAGAAAAATATTCTTTAAAAAATATATATATTTATATGGATATCAAAGCCTGAACAATCTGATACCGTTTGGTAATCTGAATTGCGAATTCCCCAACTTTTTTGCTTCTCTGCCGAAGAAAATGGCGACCTCCGCTCTCCTGCCGCTCCTCCTGCTCGCGGTGCTAACCGTCGGCGCCGCCGCAAGGCCCTGCAAGACTCTGTTCTATTTCTCTGCCACCACGACGACGACTTATAGCCCCTACAATTCGTTGTCCCATAACCCTAAATTTGATTCCATTTTCCGCGGCCATGGCCCCCGTCATCTCACTCTGATCTTCACCTCAATTCCGGATCGGCTTCCCTATCGGTTCGTTGAAATCGATTCAGACGGTGAGGATTCTGAGCCGCCTAAGGTGTTGAGGTCGTCCGAATCCCCTCTCAAGTTCTACACCTCTGTTTCGAGCTCAATTCGCGATCGTTCTAAAGATATCATCAGCGTTGTCGGAGCCTTGCTGTTCGGCGTCGGATGTGGGGCTCTCACTGCGGCTGTCATGTACTTGGTGTGGGCGCTCTTCTCCCCCCGCCGATTTGTCATTGACGATGGTTCCTCCTCATCTGACGACGACGACGATGACGACGACGTTGCGACTATCAAGAGAAAATTGGGGTATGTGGCGATCTCGGCAAGCCCTAAGGAGGATGATGGTGACCTCAAGAAGCCTGCTCTTGGCCCTGCCCCACCAACAAACGGGGAGGTTTGATGTTTGCATCTCTATGTACAACTACAAGTGCTTTGTGAATTCGAACTATAACCCTAAGGAAGGTGAATTTGATTACTCCAAACTATGTGTGTTTGACAAAAATGACTTGCTTCTGTTGTTGATGCTGCCAAATAGTGTGAATTAATAATCGTGATTCGTGACCATATGTTGAATCTCTCTTATTCTGCAATTTGGTTAATATTTGATGTTGGTTCTGTGTTGGGTTTCTGTAATTAAATCGAAATTGTCGAGAAAAGTGTTGTTTTCGTTCATGTGTATTGTGAATTGGTATTTGCAATTTCTTTCCCTTTGGTTTTTAGGTAAGTTCGATTAAAACCATATAAAATTGTGCTATTTTGGAATTCAATTTGCAATGTGTTTTTTCTCAATAAGGTTAAACAATACATCAATAGGAAGTTCGGTTTGCTGCCCCAGTCGTTTTAGAGCGCCGAACAATTTTTGATACTGGTTGGCCTTTGTTTTCATATTTTGCTTGATGTTAGTGTATGTCCTCTGCTTAGGTGGTTTGGTTCTGTGATTATCTAGCATCATGTTATATCTTGTTCGGAGGTCATAGGGCATGGATAAATAGTTTGTTTTCTTGAAGATGTTTCGGCTATGATTTTCCCTTTCTTGACATTTGACCCAATTTAATACAGCAATGGTTTCTTGATGGAAGATTTCATGGTTTGTGATCTTTTTTACGAACGAATTTGTTGATTTGTAGATCACTTTCATCGTGCCCTTTAATTTCATCTTGAGTGGCAATCTGTTTTCTGTGTTTAGAATCTTTGTGGGGCATTTCCTATCGACACAAATGTTAATATTTTCTCTAGTAGCTTTGAAGATGGTGAAAATTGGATGTACTAAAACTTTGAAGATGATAAGGGCATCCAATACACAAACACATATGCTTGTTACACATGGTAGACTTGTATATCCCGGTATTAAAAGTTCCCCGTGTAAGTTGTAATTAATTTTCACTTTGACAGCTTGAAGTCCTCTTAACTGCAGATTTAATGGTCATATGTTTGGCGCCGCTCAAACTTATGTGTGGTTCGTTTCATTATTCTTCTGTTTTGTCTTCTCTTGTTGCACACTTTTGACAAATGCTGTGAATCTTTTTAGAGCATTGTTTTCCACTTCTCTTTGATCTTCGATACATGGACGATGAAATTGACACCGGCTAGCTTCAAGTCGTTTCTTGAGAATAGAATATAGATGCTTTAGGGGTGAAAATACCATCTGTTTTCTTGATGATAATTCTCATGTGGTTATGGTATCTGGTTTCCTACTTTTCTTTAGGATTCGACAATTGGGTTGGGAATTTGGTGGAAAGAAAAGGTGTGTTGTGTTTGGATGAGTTTATTCTGAAATGGATGGTTTTGTCCCGTTGCGTTTTGGATGTAAAAATGATTTGTCTGCTACTTTAGTTTCCATATCCATATACGATAGATATATATATATATATATACACACACACACGTGCGCACGCTCGTGCATTGTTAGGATAACATAAATTCTGCGAGCATACGGTAATAGTTTACGCAACATATGTCGATTGAGAATTCATATACCTCTTGTTTTTTAAATCATATGTCGAGTGTTTTGTATTGTTGTCAATGTTCTTACGGTTCGGTTCTTGGGCAAAGTTGAATTAAATTAGTAGCATTAGGGTAAGTTTACATGTATATTTTTGTTATTCAACAATAGTAATAGTGTGCGAATTGCATGTTATACTTTCAAAAATTATAATTTTACAAAGTACTTTTTGAGTGTGTAATAGTACTATGATTGGATTCAACGATAAACATGTTTATATAATGATCTGCTGATTATGTCTATTTTACATGGTACACATACATTTTGCCTCCTAAGGTAAATATATATATATATATATATTCCTTTTTGACCGTCAAATTTATTTTATTTTATTTTTTTTAAATTTATTTGTTAAATTTATTCAATTATTAATTTTGACAAAGTTAACAAATAAATATTTAGTTATTATCTTTCATTCAATCTCAATTTAAATTTGTACTAGACCCAAATAAATTATTTTTAGTGGAAATAGGGATTGTTAATTTTTCATCTGTCTAAATATCACCTAGGAGGAAATTTTTTTATACTTACATATATTTAATTATTTTTTATTTAAAAAATATTGAAATATATAAAAAAAGAAATATGGCAGGATATTAGTACTAAATTTTTTATAACACATTGTATTAAATATTCAATAAAATTAGACTATGCCAGCGGTCAAAATTGTCGAATATTTCCCTTTAAAGAATGGTATTATGGGAATCAAAATTGCGTTTGGCTCTCACATAATCCGTCCAGGTTCAACGTACCACAAGTTACCCTGTGCCTATCCAATTTCTCTTCTTATGTCTTCTACACCACGCGCTTTAGTCTTCCACGCGCGCGCGTGTTATCGTTATGATCATTCTTTTCCCCTTTATTTTCCACTGACCCTTCTTTTAATTTAAATTAAATAATTTCCCAGTCTCGTCGTTTGTCGCGTGCCAGCCACGTGACGCCGCACTCAACATCTCCTGCATATTGTGCACCCTAAATAAATCTGCGACGAAACCTACCTCGGTCGGCCAGCTCGAAGTTGCTGTCGGAGTATCGTTACGGCATGACGACGTCGTTTGGAGCTTCCAACACTGCCATCGGCGGCGATCCTAAGCTCCGCATTGCCAGGAGCTTCGATGGCTTGCGAAGTGCTTCCAATTCGCTTTTGCTTTCGAGGCGGACACAAGTTGTCCGTACCTCCGCCGGCGGCGGCGCTGCGCCTTTCATCAGAGCCGTCTCCACGGTAGGATTTATTTATTTATTTAATTTTCTTTTCATGCGTTGATGTGTTCTCAATATCAGTGATTTCTAATATTTCTTTCATATAATTAAATATAGATAATCATATTAGCATACTCCGTGCTGCTTATAAATCACATGTGGTGACATTTGGTGAGAGATGCTGTTAGCTGCACTAGGTCCGTGCGTCTTTTGAAAGTACGTTTGGAAGGAAGTATAGTTTTTGTAGGATGTGTTGTTCTAATTTGGTTCTACTGTATTAAAGGCGAGATGGTTGTTTTTCGCTCTAGCGCCTGGAGACAATTCTGTCACAATCTTGTCCTCGGGTGAATGTGGCGTCAAGCTGTGTGTGTTGTCTAGTTCACAAATTAGGGCATCAAATATAAATATATATATATATATGTATGTATATATATGTATTAATTTCTTGTTACTGCTAGTGTTGAGAAGATAATTGGCCTCTGTTTTTAGAGTTTATAGATGATCTTAGTTTGAACTGATACCTGTTGCAGCAATTGGACTAATTCTTGTTGATCTAATTTTCTATAGAAGTAAATGCTTGTTTGTTTTTAACTTGCTAATGGATTCATTTGTGATTATCTTGATTTATTGGCAGCCGGCAAAGGCGGATACCTCCGTTGTCCAAAAACGCAGTAAGGTCGAAATCATAAAGGAGAATAGTAATTACATTAGATATCCTCTCAACGAGGAGTTATTAACTGATGCTCCCAATGTAAATGAGGCTGCTACACAATTGATCAAGTTTCATGGTAGCTATCAGCAGTATAACAGAGAGGATCGTAGTACGAGGTCTTACTCATTTATGCTTCGTACAAAAAATCCATGTGGAAAGGTTTCCAACAAGCTCTATTTGGTGATGGATGACTTAGCTGATCAGTTCGGGATAGGAACCCTTCGTTTGACAACTAGGCAAACATTTCAACTCCATGGTGTTTCGAAGAAAAATCTCAAGACAGTAGTTTCTGATATCATTAGAAATATGGGCAGTACACTTGGTGCATGTGGTGATCTCAATAGAAATGTTCTTGCTCCGGCTGCTCCATACACTCGCAAAGATTATTTGTTTGCCCAGAAAACTGCAGAGAACATTGCTGCACTCTTAACTCCTCAGTCAGGTTTTTATTATGATGTTTGGGTGGATGGAGAAAAATTTATAACTGCAGAACCTCCCGAAGTAGTTGAAGCCCGCAATGATAATTCACATGGAACCAATTTCCCGGACTCACCCGAGCCCATCTATGGAACTCAGTTCTTGCCGAGAAAGTTCAAAGTTGCAGTCACTGTACCATCAGACAACTCAGTGGACATTTTCACAAATGATGTTGGTGTGGTTGTTGTGTCTGATGCTAATGGGGAGCCTCAGGGCTTTAACATATATGTAACTGCATTCACTTTTCTCATACAGTTGGAATTCACAGTTGCTTGTTCTAAGAACTCAATTTCTAATTCTTTGATGAACTTTCATTTACAGGTTGGTGGTGGAATGGGAAGAACACATAGGCTGGAGAGCACTTTCCCAAAACTTTCAGAACCGTTAGGTTATGTGCCAAAAGAGGATATATTACATGCTGTAAAGGCTATTGTTGTCACGCAAAGGGAAAATGGGAGAAGGGATGATCGTAAATATAGTAGAATGAAATACTTGCTCAGCACATGGGGAATTGAAAAGTTCAAAGCCGTCGTAGAACAGTACTATGGAAAAAAATTTGAGCCTTGCAAAGATTTACCTGATTGGGAATTTAAAAGCTATTTGGGATGGCACGAGCAGGTATGCGCAGCTTACAAACGGCCAAACCTGTAACTTAATAGGTTCAGTTGTTTTCTGTAGTTATTGTTGTAACACTTTTGTTTTTGCAGGGAGATGGTGGATTATTCTGTGGCATTCATGTTGATAGTGGCCGAATCAAGGGGACGATGAAGAAGACCTTGAGGGAAATAATCGAAAAATATAACTTGAATGTGCGGATTACTCCTAACCAGAATATTATCTTGTGTGATATCCAGCAAGCATGGAAAGATCCCATAAATTCAGCTCTTGCACAGGGTGGTTTTCTGGTAATGTGTTTGAGATTTAATAATCGTATGCTTCTGCTTTCATGCATTTCATTCGGTCATATTATCATGTCACCAACGAAATACTTCTAGGAGGCATTGGCAATGTCTGCACTATCTAATGTTTTTCTCAATCTCAACAGAATCCAGAAGATGTCGATCCTCTAAATATAACGGCCATGGCTTGCCCAGCATTCCCACTTTGTTCCCTGGCAATAGGAGAAGCTGAACGAGGCATACCCGACATGCTTAAACGAGTTCGGGCTGTGTTTCAAAAGGTAAAGTGCCAATACTAACACGAAGTTCCTGAAGAATAAAAATGGATTGTGTGTTTGAGCTTGGCTATTCTTTCTCAACATCAGGTTGGTCTCAAGCATGATGAATCAGTGGTCGTACGTGTAACCGGTTGTCCCAATGGATGTGCTAGACCATACATGGCCGAACTCGGCCTGGTTGGCGATGGACCGAATAGTTACCAGGTTTCTGAATCTGGATCAAATATGTTATATCCATTCTACAACCTAGCTTGAATTGCAAATTAACTTCGTTGTATTCAATGTAGATTTGGCTCGGCGGGACACCAAACCAAACAACACTTGCAAAAACATTCAAGGATAAAGTTAAGCTTCAGGACCTCGAAAAAGTGTTGGAACCTTTGTTTTTTCACTGGAAAAGCCGTCGGCTCTCTGATGAATCGTTCGGGGCCTTCACGAACCGCACGGTAGATTAGCTTTATTGAGCTTTTTATATGCAGTGTGATTCATATTTCATACTGAATCACTAGATATAAACAACCAACTATTGTAAATTCTTTCGACAGGGTAAGGAGAAGCTTCTGGAGCTGGTTGACAAATGGGAAGGAGTACCTTGAAGGGTTGATGCTATTTGCAACAGCTGAAATAACGTATTCGAAATGCAGAGTGGTTTTCTAGCATGTAAACCTCAATTTTGCATACGAATGAATGCCTTGTGATTGTTAGAAACTGTGGTTGAGTTATGGTTTGAGTGGATTAAGTTTAGATGAAGATTATCTGCTTTTATATATATATATGTACTATCAATAAAACAGCCATGGTTGCTGCTGATGATATGCAAGAGACGATGCATTCATTACCAGCAAGAATAGGATTTTACATCGACATATATATATATATATATATATATATATGTAATTGCAGGAGTGATTGAATTGAAGTGAAGAAGCAAGACGCAGCAATGGCGGAATTGTGTCAGTTGTGACATACGCGAGCAGTGGGCATGGTGACACAGATAGGAGCATACTTCTTTCTGGCCTCGGCGGTGCCGCGCTTCGGCTCCTCCGCCATGGCGACTCCGGCCACGGCGCAGGCGGCGGCCGCCGCCGCCGCGAACATCAGGTCCCTCCTTGTGTTGTTGTTCCTCTCGTCATTGGACGTGTCCGCTCTGTCGGAGTTGTTGGAGGCCCTGACTAACACGGCGGCGCGTCGGGCGGTGGCGGGGAGTTGCTGCTTCTTGCCGGCGGTGGGGACGGCCAAGAAAGCGGCGGCGGCGGCGGTAATGGAAGCCATTGCGATGGGTGGGTGGATTGATTTGGTAGTGGTGGTGGAGGATTCGGTTAGAGAAAAGGATATAGTGCTTTCATGGACAAGTGATCCATTTTTCTTATCCAGAGTTCGAGATGCCTCCCAATCGCCTGCCGCCACGTGTATTGGCCTATCTGATGCTCATTTTCTGAGGTACGTATTTCTTGCAACATTCTCTATTGATATAGGAGTAATTTTTTGTCCTACTTTTATTTGGGGTTAATAATTATTGACCCAAGTTAGCGGCCCAATTTTTATGGGCTGACTTAAGTTAGGAGGCCCAAAATTTTTTCCAATCTCTAATGTCAATACAAACTTGAAAGTGTATGGCATTGGAGAAATGAAAGACTAAAAAGAATTGGGAATTTTGGTAAACGTGGTCTGTTTGGTGTTTCAAAAGCTGTGCGTGAAGAAAAAAACAACCATAATTTAAAATCCGTCGACAAAAACAGTTTCTTTAACCTCAACCACTAGCAGTTTCAAAATATTAATTAACCCCTCGATGTAAAAAGATGATCTTGTCATTATTTAAAGGTGCCTTTTGTACCTACTGACTGTCCTAATCTCCAAAAATTAATACTATAATCATTATCCAATTCAATCCACTATTACAATGTCCAATTTGGTCATTTCAGGACTCAAAGTCTACCGTTGCATTCAAAAGACAAATAACCTTCAGACAACAGAGACAGACAGACAGCATGTCACCTGCACCAAGAATGGCCCCCGTACCCGATTGCCCTCCGCCTCCGCCGCCGCCGCCCAGTAGCCCTAAAATTCTGCTCTTCCATCGTCGCCGGAGAACCCGCCGGAAGCAGTCCAGGTCAAGTTCAACCACCCGCCGGAGCGGCCACTCGCCGTTGCTTTGGGGTCAGAAGAACCCTAAAGGTAAGCTCGAAAATCTGTTCGATCAAGAGAACGACGAATGTGGTTCCCCCACAGGAACAAATAGGAGAGAGAGAGTAGAGGGAGGCTGCTGCGACGACGACGGCGGCGGCGCGGTGGAGGAGGATAGGTGGAGATTTCAGGCGGAGATACTGAGGGCCGAATGCAACTTCTTGAGAGTAGAGAGAGAATTCGCTCTCAAGAAGCTTGAGAAGAACACAATTCAGATCGAGACTGCTCTCCGATCAGCCATTCACACCCTCGTCTCCGTCAGTCCCCAAAATTTCTCAACTTTTCCCCTCCACCATTTTTATTACAGTCTGACCTTAATTAATTTAATTTGCAGGGAAGAACGAAGATTCTGGAAGGGGAAGAAGCCGATGCAGTCCTAGTGGAAGAGATTCAAGATTTGTCCGAGAAGCTCGAGTCTCTGCAGATACAGAAGAACTCGACAATCAAAGACTATCGTCTCCCCAAATGCAGAAACATCGACACGAAAGCCGCTCTTCTGCAACGACAATTGCAAGTCCTCGCCATCCCGGACAAGTCTTCCATTGATGTAAGAACACCTTTTCTTGATCCTTAGATCAAAATTTCACAACCCTTTAGTTGCTACGAATGTTTGATTGTGTTAAAAAAAACAGGTGAATTTGCTGAGGAAGAACGTGGACATATTCGAGGATGATAAGTTCCCTCACCTTTCAGCAAGATTTTCCGACAAATTATTTCATCAGGTAAACACCCCTAATCCAAAAAAAAAAAAAAAAAAATTAAATCATTTTGTCATTAATTACATGTGAAGGTAACAACGTTGGATGATTGGGTGGGTGGGTTTAGGTGGGTGCTGCACACTGCCCTAAGTATTATTACAAGGCATGCGTGGACCACTAACGTTAGATTTGGGTTCTAGTTTGAATGTAGCTTTGTTGTTTTCGATGTCTGAAACAAGAACTTACTTCAGATTTTAAATCTGATGCCACTAAATACGTACATATAAATATATATATATGTATATATGTCACTCAATTTTTAAACGATAAGAGACAATGGTGATATTTTGATAAACACGGGGGATGTACTAATGCAATTTGTTCTAAAAATCATTCACATGTCTTCACAATGAGCAGTTTCTTTTACAATGTTTCAATGGATGAACATTCTCTTACAGTGAATCGATGTTCTTCAGGAATCGATTCTGCACGGTAACGGATGCTTCGGGCGATGCAAGGCGATCGTTCATAGGATAATCGAGCAGGTAAGAGCCGAGACAGAGCAATGGTCTCAAATGCAGGAAATGCTAAGACAGGTGCACGGCGAAATGGAAGAGCTTCAGGCATCGCGCGACTTCTGGGAAAGTCGAGCTAATGACTCCCATTATGAAATCCAATCCCTTACACACTCTGTAAGTTTTCGACAACAGGAACATGCTTGTAATGAATTAGCCTTAAACATCCTATAATTTTATTACCGGCCCTGTCTTAGGTACAAGAATGGAAGGAGAAAGCTTTTCTCCATGAAAGCGCCGCGCAAGAACTGAGCCTCGAAGTGTCTGCACTCAGACAGGAGCTTAGAATGGCGAAGGAGATGGGGTCGAGTTGTCGTGTGGACATAAAAAATAACAGATACGGATTAGGAAGAAATGATGGCAAGGAAAGGTCGGAGCCTACACTTTCTTTAGGCAAGCAACTCGCCAAGGAGATGAAGAAAAGAATGAGGCTGCATCTTTTGAAAGAAAACGACAACCTTAGTCGTAAAACTAACAGTGGGCAAAGGCCCTCGAACGCTGGAAACACGCGATCACCGTTGATGGATATCGGGAATTCATCGAGTTCATTCGCGTCGGCGTCGATTTTGATTCAACCTCTTGAGGCATAAGAGAAAGGAGTAATATTCTTTTTTGGTCATTGGTTTTTTTTTTTTAATCTCACAACGTATATATTAATTAATTTCACAAAATATCACATCAAACAGCTTGTTTAGTGGGACAATAGTCCATGCAGTATGAGAGGGGGACTAATTTTTCACATTTCGAAACCAATATAATCTACTTGTTATCCAATAATTTTATTAATTGAGTTATCATATTTCGAAAAGTTTGCAAAATATCAATCTACAGTAACAACTGTATATTACAAAATTATGAAATTGATAAATAGTAAAAAAAAATTATTAAAAAAATGGCTCTTAAAAATATCATCTCCTATACATTTGGTTGAAAATTTTTTGAGGGTTTTTTTTTATTATTATTTCTTACTTTTTTGTTCATAATTATTTTTATAGTATCAAACAATTATTATGATATAATTTTTCTTATTATTCAAAATTAAAATTAAAATTTTAAATTTTACATAAATACTAATTAATTTTTAGCAATTTTTTGATAAATTTGTTAATTTATCTAAAGTAAGCTTCTAAAAATAAATGTGTATATCAGTGACATAAATAGTTATAATCAATTCACTTAACTGCTTAACTCAAGCCAAAAATTTTACCATTTTAAATTTTTGGTTTTGGTTCAAAACTTATATATATATATAAATTTATTAAAAATTAAATATTAATTTTAAAAATCGAATCGGGCCAAGCATGACCCAAAAATTTTCGGACATATTTTTTAAGGCCAAACACGATTTTTTCATGTAGTTCTCATACTGGGCTTTCGGGCCATGTTAGTTTTTGCACCCATATTGAGTATGTTCATTATGTTAAATTGTTATTGTATAGGTTTATCTATTTTGTATTGTGTGATAATATACCCATAATTTTATTATTAATAATGTACTTAAGATATATGTCTCTCCCAAAGGAAAATACTAAGGGTGAGTTCTTTCTATGTTAAGGGTAAATTTTTTTTACAAGTTTTTCCAAAAAAATTGATAATTATATACATTTATTAATTTTATATTCTTAACACAATTTTTTTCGCCTTACATAATTTTTTCTTTTTTTATTTACAACTATTTCACAAAACAAATACACCTTAAGACTTTTGAAAATTTTGAAGTTTTAAAAGTTTGAAAAACTAAAAATTTAATTTTTGATGTAATGTTTTGTAATATAAAAATATATTTGATATGATGCTAAGTTTTCAAAAGTGTTGTGTAACATAATTGTAAAATAAAATTGTTTAATTTGTATATATAAAATGAAAGGTAAATGGTGTACGGAAGAAAATGAATAGAAAGTCTCATTTGTAGTTAAAAATAAAGAGAAAGCATTACAATAAACTCGTGTTTGGTTTTGTATTTGAATTTTTATTTAAAATAGTGGTTCAATTTCATATTTAAAAGTCGAGTATTTATTTATTGTTTTTTTTATTATTATTTTATTTTTATATTTTATAAAAAAAATAATTTTATTATACAAAAACATTGAATCCAACTATTTTTTTCAATCAAACACACTTATAATAAGCATTGCAAAATATCATAAATTTGTTCACTTGATTATTATTTTTACTTTTTCTATTATTCAACTTTTAAAAGTATACGGCTCAAAGACAACTAAACTTAGAGTGTCAATTCGTATTTTCAGGCCGTGTTACCGTCGGATTGAGCCATGGGTAACATAAAAACTGTCAATCCAAACCCGACCCGATCTTGAAATTTGACCCAAAATCCTAGTCCTGAACACAATACAAATTCTTTCAGGTTGGGTTCAGGTTGACCTGATTTAGTTTCAGATAATCCGAAACCAGAACAAACCCGAAACAAACTCGAAAACTTAAAAAAAAAAGAAATTAAATTTATAACCTAAAAAAATCATTTTTATTTAAGTTTTATATTATTTTAAATATAAAATAATATAAATATTAGAAATTAAAATAATATTAATAAATAATTTCAAGTCAACCCGAAACACGACCTAATTTTTATATTTCGGATTATCAGGTCAACCCGAAACCTGACCTAAACAAGACATGATTTTTTATTTTTTTTTCGAGATCGGATCGATCCAATTTTTTACAAACCCGAAATAGTTAAACCTGAACTGAAAAAATTTTAGGTTGAACGGATTCGATTTTTCAGGTCGGGTTTAATTTTGACATCCCTAGCTAAACCCAAAGTTTTGTTTCGTTTTGGTTTTAAACCAAAGTCAGTACCATTATTCAATTTCACAATTTCAAATAAAAATACATGAATAACTAGGAATCAAACCAAACCCATACATGTGCTTGTTCTTTTACAATTTCAATATTATTCACTATGCACAATTTTTTTAAAAAATATAATATTTTATCTCTAAAAATATTAAATCAAAATACTATTTAAACAAAAATTCAAATAACACCCCCTTCAAATCAACTTTAAACTACCACCAACCAAATTCATACAACTAATTTTAGTACAATTTGTCCCGTAAGGGATGACCGGTGGTGTGGGGGTTGGACATGTCGTTCAAACCCCCGACGCCCTGTCAGATCTAGTTTGCAGAGTATTAAGTTCGGTTGAGATTTACCAAGTGCGCACTTTTGGATAGCGATTACATTGGAAAAAAAATAAAAAAATAGAGTTTAATTTGCACATCATAAATAAAAAATAATAATAATAAAAAAAAATTGTGTTTGAAGAAGATGGTGTCCACAAAACATATCGCACGTTTTATTTAGTTTAGTTATAACCAACCAATTATGCCAAGAAGATTCCCCGCAAAACAATTAGTGCACTTAAAAAAAGACTTGTATTGATGATCATAGGCACTCAAATTACAAGTGGCCCATACCAATACCAATACCAATATAATCATCATAATTATTTATCCCACAAATAAATAAATAAATATAAAATAAAATTAAAATTATTGCAAATTAAAGGGCATTATTTGAGTGACGTTGCTTATTTGTTAAATATTTGCATTCAGCACAATATTTATGCTAATATTATATACATACTTCATATAACGTGACAATATTAGCAATATATATATATATACACTACCATTAACGATTTTACTTTTTTTTTTTTTTTTTTATACCTAGTGCGCACTTTCGGGTAACGACTGCGCAATTGTTAGCTTTGAGAAGTGCAAGCTACAAGCCATCCATTTTCTATATACTATCTCCGTCCCATAACAAAGTATTTATTTTTTCATTTTAGTCCGTTCCATAAAAAAGTATCTATTTTCTCTTTTAGTAACTGTACTATCTACCTAACGTTACAAATACCCTTACAACTTAGAACATATTACACAAATATCATTATTTTAATATTACACATACTAATAAAGTTATTTTAGTTATTTTTATTTTATTTCTATTATATCTCAATATAATATTAATATTTTTTAAATTACGTACAAAAAGTAAATAAATATCTAATTATAGAATGAAAAAATATATATATAAATAAATAAATGTAAGTAGGGGGCTGGCGAGATACAAATATGACGTGTCGGAGTAGTCGTGTTAATAAATGCTAATTTTAACCAACAATGCCATGCACGGAATTAAAAGCCAAGCAAATAATTAATCAGTGCTGTTTCACGTGGCCATCATATCCAATAATATATACTCCCTCGGTCCCGCAACAACGGTGGTATTTGCTTTTTACACGTAAATTTTTTAATATTAGTATTATATTTGATTATAGTAAAAAAGACAAAAATACTCATATTAGTATGGTGTAATATAAAAGTAATGATATTTGTATAATATATTGTAAATTAAAAGGGTATTTATTATGTGAGGTAGGTAGTACAATTACTAAATTAGGAAATGATAATATTATTTTGAGACGGACGAAAATAAAAAATGATAACCTTTCAATGACACGGAGGGAGGGAGAGAGTATATACATACAAGGGAAACAAAAAATAATAACCAAAACAATTGTAGTAACTAATCCAATAATAAGTTAGCTGATTGTCATCGTCAGCTTTTTCATCTAAATTTATTCCAGTTTTAATTTTTAATAAAAAAAATACTTTTTTTTTTAATTTAAAAAGTAAAAATTTTTATTTTTATTTATTTATTTTAAAACTCAATCAGATCAAATTAATATATTATACAATTGAATGGCAGAAAGAATATTAGATAACAAATTGTATATAAAATTTTAAAGATATATAAAATAGAATTAACAGCTAGTATATACTATACTAAGGTATTATTATATACTCCTTTTGTTTCAATACTATAGTCTTATTTACCATTTTTGTCTGTTTCAAAATAATAGTCTCATTTCTATAAATAACCACATTACTATAAAACTACCTCTATTTTTTTATTTTTATTACACAATTGCCACTATTTTTTACACTAACAAGGGCAAAAAAGTCTTTTATCCGTAGTTTTTACCCACTACCAATGTAATATCAATATTCTTTAAATGTCGTATCCAACCTAATTAAGACTATAGTTTTGGGACGAAGGGAGTATTAGATTTTTATATACTCCCTCCGTCACAAAAGAGTTATCTTGTTTTTTCATTTTCGTCCGTCCCACAACAATTGTCTTGTTTCCTTATTTAGTAATCGTAATCCCCACTTTATAAAAAAACTATTCCTACTTTTCCAAACTGCCCCTAAGGCCATCTCCAACCCGTCAATTCCATTTATCCAGTTTAAATTCCAAATATGTAGTTACTACAGTAATTTTACTCCAACTATAACTCCATTTTTTACAATTATTCTTCAAATATTCAATTTTTCCTATTATTTTAACAACTTTTTATTTTTATAATTTAAAAAAAATTAAAATTTTTAAAAAATAGAAATTAATTTTAAAAGTCAGATTTATAATAAAAAATTTTTTAAAATTAAAAAATAATAATAATAATAATAAAGCAACACTATTTTTTTGGCATTGCTACGGCACAAAAAATTAGCGTTGCACTGTAACAACTCTAAAAAGTGGCGTTGGATTTGCGTCGGTTGGAGATGCTCTAATAATGACTCTAATCTACTTTTTTAAATCATTCCAAAAACAAAGATATTTTAATATTTTATATTGTACTTTATACATATTTTTAATTAAATACTATCGATTATTTAATTCTGGTGTCTAACACCTAATAAAAAGTCTTTTTTGGCAGAAAGAGAGTAGTATTTATAGTATCTTCATATAATAATTGAGATAATCGATAGATAGGGTGCTGATAAGTTCTGAGTCGTCAGGCTAATTGAAGCAAAATAATCATATTCATTTTCATGCTTTTGATGGCCATTGCACGTTTCATGAAAAAAGCAACCACATTACTATTGGGCCTTCCACTCACTCTCTCTCTCTCTCTCTCTACATCTTGGGAAATTCTACGTACTTGTCGAAGCATGCATGTGCGCACATTATTATTATTATTATTATTATTATTATTAGCTTCCAGTACTGAGTATTTGTAAACTAATTAACTTCGAATCGCCTCGGATTAAATATTTTAAATGGATTAAATTATTCAATTTTAACTCGACTAATTTATTATCGTGTTGGGTTCAGGTTGACTCGTATTAACCCATATACAGAATTAACTCAATATTTTTTATTCAAATTAAATTATATTTTCTCGTGTTATCGTTTTATGTTAGTTTTTATCGGTTTGAGTGTAATATATACAATGAATTAGATTAAATTATTTAAAATTGAACTTAGTTTAAATTAATTTATGAATAAATTATTAAATTATAATTATTTTACATAATATTATAAGTATATTAATAAATATTAGTATATTATAATCGGATTGTCGTGTTGAGAATCTCAACCCTAACTTGCTCTGCGTATCGGGATCGTGTCAACCCGTATATATAATCGGATTAAAATATTAAATCCAACTCTAATTATTTCATGTCGGGACATACACGTGTATATATACCTATTATGTGTGCAGGGATAGAAGAATAGAGTATATTTTTTGGACGTCAAAATTAACTTAGATGGTATTAATATTATATATGCGGCAGAAGCTAAGGTGAGTCAAAAACTAACGTGATGAACGTGACACAATATGATAAAGATAAGATCAGACCACCCTTAAATTAGCCGAACAATAATACATACACGCAATTCAGAGGAAAAAGGAAAAAGCTTACTAGTTATAAATAACAGTAAGTAGGCATAGATGGATCCATCGATGATCACACCGGCCAGTCTCCCATGGCTTCCATTAGTATTACTACCATCAATTCTCATCCCACACTTGTTCCCCAAACCCAACGCCTTCCAAAACCATCATCCAACCAAAACCTCTTCGTCTTCTTCTTCCCCAAATCCAAACCTAAATCAATTTCAATTTCATCCAATTTCAATTGCACCGCCATATCCACCCTCCAGAAGAACACGGACCACCAAAACCAAGACGAAGAAGAAGAAGACGATGATGATGACGAAACAACCCTAAGTGAAATCTGGCGACAAATCCAGGGCGAAAACCACTGGGAAAACCTGCTAGATCCAACCCTGAATCCCCACCTCCGGCGAGAAATCATCCGTTACGGCGAGATGGCCCAGTCCTGCTACGACTCCTTCGACTTCGATCCCCACTCCAAATACTGCGGCACCTGCAAGTACCAGCCCTCCGATTTCTTCCGCCGCCTGTCCATGGCGGATCGCGGCTACACCCTCACGCGCTTCCTCTACGCCACCTCCAACATAAACCTCCCAAACTTCTTCCAGAAGTCCAAACTGAGCAGCGTCTGGAGCCAGCACGCCAACTGGATGGGCTACGTCGCCGTCGCCACCGACGAAGACGAGATCCGCCGCCTCGGCCGCCGCGACATCGCCATCGCATGGCGGGGCACCGTCACCTACCTCGAATGGATCCACGACCTCAAGGATATACTCCACCCGGCCCATTTCCGCGACGACCCGTCCATCAAAATCGAATCCGGGTTCTTCGATCTCTACACCACTAAACAAACCGCCTGCAACTACTGCTCCTTCTCCGCCAGGGAACAGGTCCTGGCGGAGCTCCGGCGGATCCTGCGCCGCTACAGCGGCGAGGAATTGAGCATCACCGTCACCGGACACAGCCTCGGCGCCGCCCTCGCCCTCCTCAGCGCTTACGACATCGCCGAGATGAAATTGAACGTCGCCGGAGATTCGAAAATCCCCGTCACTGTTTTCTCCTTCTCCGGCCCCCGCGTCGGAAACCTCCATTTCAAGGAACGCTGCGACGAATTAGGGATTCGTGTTCTGAGAGTGATCAACGTGCACGACAAGGTCCCGGCGGTCCCCGGAATCATAACGAACGAGAAATTCCAGTACCAGAAGTACATCGAGGACGCCATAGCCTTCCCCTGGAGCTACGCCCACGTCGGCGTCGAGTTCGCCATGGATCATACGAAATCGCCATTTCTGAAGAGCACGAAGGACATGAGGTGCGCGCACAACCTGGAAGCTCACCTGCATTTGGTGGACGGGTACTGTGGGAAGGGGAAGAAGTTCAGGGCGGCGTCGGGGAGGGACAGGGACGTGGCGCTGGTGAACAAGAGTTGTGATTTTTTGAAGGAGGAGTACGGAGTGCCGCCGTACTGGTGGCAGGAGGAGCACAAGGGGATGGTGAGGGGCGCCGGGGGGCGGTGGGTGTTGCCGGAGAGGCCGCGGGTGGAGGCGCATCCGCCGGACACGGCGCACCACTTCGAAGAGGTAATCAAGTACGCGGGAGTGAAGATACAGGCGTATTGAATTGATTTGATTTGATTGATTCCACCATGAAAGTGGGTGAGGGTGTAATTTTCTGTAGCCTTTTTTTTTTTTTTTAGTAAAATTAGGGCAGGGTGTGTTGTGTAGTGGTGACCAATTTGATGTAAAATTTGGATCTGCAATAAGGTACAGTTTGGGATTTGGATTTCTTTGCTTTTTATTTTTTTTTTGTATTTTTTTAAAGATTAAATAAGTATTTGAATGTGGTATTAAAAAAAATGCTCATTGTTCACAAAGAAATGAATATGTATATTTTATTAAATCAAAGAATTCTTAAATAATTTTTTTTATTATTTTTTTTTTACTTTTATCATTATTATTTTTTTAATTATTATTTATAAAAATGCCAGAACTATTCAATTTATTATTTTTTGTCATTTCATTAGAGATTAATTTTGAATTTATTTTTAAAATTTCAGTTTTATAAATTTTGAATTAGAATTTTATACTGTTTATATAATAATTCTTTATGTTTGTTTAATTTTTTATATTTTATTTATGATTTATATTTGTTTGATATATATTTAAAGAAAATATGATATATATTTTTATAGTAAAGATGGTAGTAAATAGAGATTAATAGTTGAATAATTTTTTTTTTCCTACACAAATTAAATATAATAAATTTAATGAAAAAATGAAAAAGAAAAATATAAAAAAATTAATAGATAAAAAAATAAAATATAAAAAGGTCGTGCATAGCGCTGGTTTCCACTAGTACTTAATAACTAAAAGATATATAGGGATTGTTTGAAAAACAATTTAATAGCTTTTAGGTGTTTGATAAATTGACTTTTTGTAAGAATTTTTTTCAATTTAATTTTTCTTTTTTATTTGTCCTTAAAATTTTATTACTTTACATATATGAATATATTTTTTACTGCTGTAATTATAAATTATTTTAATATAATATTTATGAAATTATAATTTTATTTTTATAAATTTAAATTAATTAATTTTCATATATAATTAATTTTATTTGTAAACTATATATATTTGTTAAAATTAAATAAAAATAAAAACATAAATATTATTAATTTATTTTTATATTAAAATTAAATAAAATAGAATAAATTTATTAAAAATTATAAATATAATAAATATATATACAAAAATTTTATTATTTTATATTTTACATCATTTTTAATAAAAAATATACTATTATTTTTCTCACATCTAAATTTAATAAAAAAATATTTTATAACACATTCGTAATCTCAAATAATTAATAACAAAAATTTTAAAAATTTTAATACTAAAAATACGCAATTAAAATTTTTTAAAATTTCAAATATAGATGTTCTCAATTGTCGTTTTACGTAATATCAAACAGTTATTTTACTAAACATTTTAATACAAAGAACTAATTGAATGTGCTAGTCAAACCAGCTAATTGAATCAACTAACCGCTAAAACTATCAACAGATTGTTAAACGCACCCATAGTATTAAAATTTATATCCAATTCAAAATGAACATATATTTAAGTAAATAATCCCTCCGTCCCACCACAATTGACACTATTTTTATTTTTGTCTGTCCTGTAACGATTGACACCTTTCTATTTTTTTGTAAAAATTATAAAACTAAAATATATTTAACAAATATAAATAAACTTAATTAACTATATAATATACAACATCATAAATAACGTAGGACCCACTTAAAACTCTTTTCATTTCTACCTCTCCCATCAAAAAAATAAATATTTTTATCTATATTTAAAACTACACATCTTTTATAAAATTGACTTTATGTTAATTATAAATAAACAAAAAAATATTTTTTATTTACTTGTATTATAGAAGATTTTATTCTCTACAAAATCCATATTACATATATTTTTTAATTGCTATATAATTTTTAAATATTTAAACATATATTTTAATTTTTTAAATTATATATATTAAATTTACTTTAAAACTATAAGTATTATTAATTATACAAAAAATAATATAATAATATTATAATTAATTATTATTAACTAATTAAACATTATTACCTTAAATAGGCTGTCCTCTGTTTGTAAAGCTTCTGACTATTAACAATTATTAACCTACCACAAATTAATGTTATGGTTATTTGTTGGCAGGCAAAGCTTACTAGTGTGTTTCTTTCAAAACACATACACCCTCCGTCCAGAACTATAATCTTAGTTGTATTTGGTATAAGATTTAAAAAATATTGATATTATATTAATAGTGGATAAAAAATATAAGTAAAAGATTTTTTTTGTCCTTGCGAGTGTATTTGTATAAAAATTAATGACAATTGTGTAATAATAATGAAAAAGTAAAAGTAATTTTATAGTGATATGGTTATTTATGGAAATAAGACTATTGTTTTGGGATGGACAAAAATGGTAAACAAAAATATTATTTTGGGACGGAGGGAGTATATATTTATTTTTTTTGTAGACTTTCAATACCAGTTCGTCCCATATAAATTTTCTTCTTTTTTTAAAAAAATAATATATAATTATATACTTTAATTATATTTTAAAATTCATAATTTATAATTATTTTATTTTAATTAAATTATTTAATCATTTTAATTTTAATTTATAATTAAATATCGTAATTATTTTACCAATACACTTTTTAATTAATTATTAATTAAATAATACCTAAAATTCTTTGCAAATCTAAAGTGGATAAATTAGCTGGAAATGAGAAAGTAATATATTATATATTCATTATTTTTATATTACTTAGACACTTTTCTATACTTTATATAAAAAACATTCATTCAAACCAAAACACAAAACAAACGCACCCATAATATTTTTTATTTTATGTCCAACACAAATAAAAATTTATCAGGATTGTTTCATTTATTTATTTATTTTTACATCATTATATATATATTATTTTTTAAAAAAATATCATAAATTTTATTAATTTTATAATTAATTAAGAATAAATTAATTATTTTTTTTTTGTCAATATAAAGTTTATTAAAATAATAATTACTATTTCTAAGTGTAGCAATCTATTTTATTTTTAAAATATTTTTTGGGTGTTATATATATATTTTTATCAAAAAGAACAAATATATTACAAAAATATATTAAAAAAAATTCAAAATTTAAATTAGTAAATAGTCCCTCCGTCTCCCTTACAGTATCCATCTTTCTATTTTCATTTGTCTCATTTGTTCTGTCACTTTCATTTTAGGAAAAATAATTATACACTTTAATCTCATTTTAATTTTTTTAATTTATAAGGTATTTAATTTTAATTAAATTAATTAGTTATCTTAATTTTAATCTAAAATTATTTTTAATATACTATAATTATTATAACTAATATATTCTTAACTATTTACTAATTATATTCTTTTAAATTCTCGTGTTATAGTAAATAGGACATCGTATCCGAAACGGAGGGAATACAATAATATACTCTTTCCGTCCAATTTTAATTGACATATTTTTCATTTTTGTGTGTCCCACAAATATTTACCCTCACGTTGATTTCCGATTTCAATAGTTGATACATTTTTATTTTCGATAAAGCTTGATAAATCAAAATATATTTAATAAATATAAATCAACTTAATTAACTAAATACTCTCTCCGGCCCCACAAAATACATATGACAAATATATTATATTGTACTTTATTTATACTAGTATATGTTTTTAGATTGTATATTTTTTTCTTCCATAAAAATTCTATAAATTTGTTTGGATACGAAAAAAAAAGTAAAAATTTAATATTAAAATGAGATAGTAAAAAGTAAATTTAAAATATTATAAAAAATTAATAAAAATAAATAAGTAAAAAAAGTAGTGATAAATTATTTAGTATTTGTTAATATATAGATATTAAAATTTGAAAGAATAAAATTATTTATTATAAATAAATTAGGCATAAGTTTAGTCATTACAAAAAATTAGTGACATAATTTTAAAGGACAAATAGAGTATTATTTATCAAAAGTTTACTTAATTTTTTTTAAAAAAACAATATCTAATATATTTTAAATATATTTTTTGAAAAAATATAAATTAAAAATTACTATTATATATAGTAGTATCATATCTAGCATGTATTTACATAATATTAAATATTTATGTATTTTTATAATTCTCAAAATTATCTAAAACACAACCTCCTCCTCCTCCTTCTTTTTATTATTATTATTATTATGGTAGTAGAAAAATGAAAATAATTTTTTTTTTTTTTTGGTTTATTTGCTTATGAAAATTGAATTTTGAAAAGTAAGTTAATTTTTCATTCTTTATTTTTAATTCTCCCACATATAGAGAGAAATATAAACTAATGAATATTTGGGATAAAAAATATTACAATTTATTTCAAAAAAATTTACAATGTATAAGAAAATTTATTTTTACTATTCCCCCGTCTCAATATAATAGTCTTGTTTATCATTTTTGTCTGTTTCAAAACAATAATCTCATTTTCATAAATAACTATATCACTATCAAATTATCTCTATTTTTTCATTATTATTACATAATTGCCACTAGTATGAATGAAAAGAATATACGATTTGAAAACATATACTAGAATGAATAAAGTACTATATACTCCCTCTGTCCCACATAATTTGTTCCTATTTTCTATTTTCGTTCGTCCCACATAACTTGTCATTTCTATTTTCGAAAATATAATTATACATTTTAATCGCATTTTAAATTTTAAATTTTATAATTTTTTTAATTTTAATTAAACTATTTACTTATCTTAATATTAATCTATAATTATTTTTACTAAATAATAATTATTTTTATTAATACACTTTTTAATTACTTACTAATTATACTTTACTTAAATTCCCGTGTGTACAGTAATATACCCATATTACATAGGACGGATGAAGTAATATATTTGTCATATTTATTAGTATTACTTTTTGTGTTTATTTTTTATTTGAGAGAGGATATTATTTTTAGTTGCCATTACTTTAGGGTGTGATTGCCTGGGTTTGGATTTTGAATTGAAATTTGAATAGTAAAAATTTTGAATTTAAATAATTATATAATGTCAATTGAAATTTGAATAGTAAAAATTTTGAATTTAAATAATTATATAATGTCATATAAATAGATGATGAAGTAATATTTTAAAAATAAAATTAATTTTTAATATAATATATATAATAAAAAAATAGATATTTGATTTAATTTTTTTTTAAAAAAAAATTGAAATAAATAATATATTTAAAATCTAATAAACCAAACAAAGTCACCCATAAATGGGATAGAGTTGTACACTTCATATAGTAATAAATAATTCTTGAAGTTGACTAGCTTTTATGAAGTCAACCCATTAACATTACACTTCCTAGTGGTGGAACAATATATGTTGTCAACATGGGGATATTTTTATTCTTATTTTATTTAATTTTATTTAATAAAGGATTTATTTCTCTAACCCAATTTTTTTTGTGCGATATTACTTTTAATATATATATATAATATTTAAATTTTTTTATCGAAAAATAATATTATGAAATTAATATTATTAAGTTCTTAATATCTCTAATATTATCGAACATAACTTGCACATTCAACAATGAAGATAAATGATCGTTTTATTTAAAAATTTAAAATTATTAAAGAAATGTATATCTATTTATTTATTAAAAACGAGTGTCAATAAAAAAAAAATTAAAGAATAGAATTTATTATCATTCAATTTGATTCGAATTATTCAAGGCTATTTTAAATAATCTTGAATTTTCCAAAAAAAAATTTGTTATTATTCAATTGTCTTCCAATTTGCACCCAACTTAGTATGACTAAACTTGGGTTAAGAGGAGGGCGCAAAGACAAGTATATCTGTGAAGGGAACATAGAATGTATCAAATTAAAAAGAAATTTACTGGTGGCATTTAATTTTTGATTTTACTATTCTAAATTTTTTTTCCCAGTACATCAATTCAATTGCCTATTTTTAACTCCCTCCGTCCATGGATAAAATATACATTTACTTTTGGCGCGGTGTTTAAGAAATAATAGTATTTTAATTATAGTATGTAGTTAAAAGTAATGTAATGATATTTTTGCCCTTATCTTTTGGTATAAAAGTAACGATGTGAAGTAAAGTAAGGGTATTTGTGTAAAAAATTGAGGTATTTAATGAAATATTTACTTTGTAATTGGACGTCCCAAAATAGAAATGTGTATATTTTCTAGCTGGATAGAGGGAGTATTTATTATATTACATTAAAATTAATTTTTATATTCAAAATATCACATCAATATTTATATCACATCAATAACTATTTCAATTCAAAATTTTACTATTCAAAATCAAAATCCAAAACCAAAATCTTATAAGTAAACACACATTTTGATCACAAGAAAACGTTTTTAAGAGTTGAGGTTCGGCTTAGACATAAATTTTTAGGCTACAGTCTTTTTGGGATTAGTTTAAGAAGATTTGTTGTAAGTTTGAATTTTTTTTTTTTGCTAGTTTTAAAAAGTGAGTTTATTTCGCCTAACAGACTTTGTTTAGATTTGAAGGGCAGTGATGTACACTAATTTGATAGGTAATAATTATTATGATGGGAATACGTAATTTAATGAAAAAATAATTTGAATTAAATAAAAAAGAGTTACTTTTTTTTTAAAAAAAAAAATATTGTGAATTTTATTGTTTATTTTAAGTTATTTTTATTAAAAAAATATAAATTATTAATGATAAAACAAAAAAAATATTATTTTTGTATATTTGTATCTTTAAAATATAAATTAATTATTTTAATTACATTAGATTTTAATTATTTGGGTACATATTACATCTCAAAGTTTAAATATAGTCAACTAATTTTTTTAGATAATGATAACATTTCAAATTTTAAATAAAATATTCAAATTTTGTAGCGGTAACACAATTATTAAATAATAAAAATAATTTTGACTGAAAATAAAATCATTGATGGTTTTGGGAGGGTAGGTTTGAAAATGGGAGAGTGACCGAAGAGATTTTAAGATTTAAAATATATTTGAAATAAAAAAAAATAATATATGTCTAAAATAAAAACAATGTTGTGCGTGTTCGTATAATAATTTCAATATTTTTGTCAAAAATAAAATTATCTTTAATTGGTAAGTAATTCAGTAAATATGCGTATATCTTATATTTAAGGTAAAATAGCAAAAAAAAAATCATCGTAATTTTCTAAATTTGTTAAAAATCTCTCGTAATTCAAAAATTTCGTAAAACCTACTTGTGAATTTTTAAAGTTGCCCTCTCCTCTAAATTCCACCTACAGACTATATACCAATTCTCAATTCATGGGTGTAATATACAATCGCCTTTAAATTTTAATGGAGGGAATGTTTTCTCCAAATATTTTAGAAATTACAAATATGTTTTATGAAAATTTCGAACTATGAGGGGTTTCAATAAATTCGAAAAATCACTAGGAGATTTTATGTTATTTTGCTATCTTTTGACAATCAAACAAATTATAAGGGTGTGTTTGTTTAGGGGTTTGGATTTTGAGTTGGGATTTGAATAGTAAAAATTTTGAATTTGAATAGTTGTATGATGTGATATAAATAAGTGTTGATGTGATATTTTGAATGTAAAATTGATTTTTGGTATAATATAAAAAATAAAAAATAAGTGTTTGATTTGATATTTTTGGGGGAAAAAATTGGATGAATAGTGTAAATCCAATCCAATCCCCCAAACAAACACACATACAAACTAACTATGGGTGAGTATTGGTCGGTTCAAATCGAAAAAATAAAAAAAAAAAATCGATTATGATTTTCAATTTTTTTTTTGGATTAACAAAAAAATCGAATGTTAAAAAATAAAAAAAAGTTATACATTAATAAATAATAGGCTCTAAGGGTCCATCTATTTTTTGCGTGTTGATATTTAAATATTAATTATTATATCAAAACGTAGTACAAATTAAGAAAAAATTACAAAAATATTTTCATCATTAATATCTTATAATATTAATAGAATGATATTTGTACAAAAAAAAATATATATATATATATATATTTTTAATATTGAATAAAATTACGACAAAAAATAAATGTGACTACCAGAGGACTGATTTGTTTGGTTATCTTTTAGTTTAAATTTTCTATTTGATTTTTGTTTTAAATAGTAGTATATTATTTAAAATTCACAAGTGTAATCCCTCTATTTTAATTTAAAGGAATTTTAGAATTTTATAATATATTAAAAATAATAATAATATTATAATATTGATTAGTAAAATTGTATAAGATAATTTTGATATTTTTGCTAGTTATACTATATCTATAAATTAATTGTATAAATAATTATATGTTTATTATTTATATAAAAATTAATTGGTATATTGGTACCAAAATGATTACTTTTACACAAAAATACTTTTAATTGACTGAGATAGACAAAAATAATAAAAAATTGTACTTATAATTGAGATGAAGGGGTATTAATATAGTGTACTCCCTCTGTCAGTTTAAATTATGTCATTATTTTTTTTTTATCATCAGTTAAACTTATATACAATTTATCTATAATAAATACTTTTATTAACTCACAATTTTATTACTTTTATTTTAAACAAAAATACTAACTAATTTGTCATAGTTTTTTCTTTTTAATAAATTCTTTAATAATTTTTTTTAATTATTTTATTTTTATTTACTTTATTTTAATATTAAAATATTATTATTTCTTTAGTTCTCTTATGATGTGTTTGTTTTGGGGTTTGTATTTTGAGTTGGAATTAGAATAATAAAAATTTTGAATTTGAATAGTTGTATGATGTAATATAAATAGGTATTGATGTGATGTTTTGAATGTAAAATTGATTTTTAGTATAATATAAAAAATAAAAAATAGGTGTTTGATTTGATGTTTTTGATGGAAAAAAATGGAATAAATAGTACAAATCTTCACAAGTTCCTCAAACAAACACACCCTTAGTGCATCTCCAACCCAGCGCCATTAATAGTACATCCCTTAATGGCGCTGGGTTGGCTTTTTTGCCAAAAATTGACGTTGCTACAGTGCAACGCCAATGTTTTGTTTTGTTTGATTCATTTATTTATTTTTAATTTTTTTAATTTTTAAAATTATAAATTTGATTTTTAAATTTAATTTTTATTTTTTAAAATTTTATTTTAAATTATAAAAAATAAAAAGTTGTTTAAAATAATAGGAAAATTTGAATATTTGAAAAATAATAGTGAAAAATGGAGTTATGATTGAAATAAAATTACCGTAGCAACTGTATATTTGACTAGATAAATGAAATGGATGAGTAGGAAATGGCCTTAGCCAATCAATGAATCAAACCTACGTAATTTTGATTGAAATAAAAAACTAACAAATTGAGTGAATCTTGATGTTTGCCTATTGCAATTGAGATGGGCTTATGGGCCAACCAAGTATGTCTGCTTAAATGGGCCCAGTCCACATTTGTAATTCAATTATTTCTAAGGAGATTATACAGGTTTGTTTGGACTTGTTAGTCGCGCCGACAATTGGTCGATTAGCGTCGGGTTCGTGTCGGGTTGAATACTTTAAATGGTTTAAATTACTCAACTCTAACCCGATCCGTTTATTATCATGTCGGGTTCGTGTTAACCCATTTATTATCGTATCGGGTTCGGGTTGACTCGTGTTGACCCGTATGCATAATTAAGTCTAATTTATTGAATCAAATTAAATAATTTTTTATTTTGTTGTCGTGTTCTGTTAGTTTTTATTGGTTTGAGCCTAAATTAGATTGAATTATTTAAAATTGAACTTAGTTTAAATTAATTTATGAAAAAATTATTAAATTATGATTATTTTATATATATAATAAATATATTAATCAATATTAATATATTATAATCGAGTTGTCGTGTCGGGTTTGAGTTGAGAGCCTCAACCATAACCCGACCCGTTTAATATCATATTGAGTTCGTGTCAACCCGTATACATAATCGAGTTGAAATCTTTGACCCAAATCCAATTAATCCAATTATTTCGTATCGAATCGTAGTATCGGGTCAGTTTTTACCAGCTCTCCTTGGTAGTGTTAGTGATGATAATTACGATAAAAAGTTCGAATTGATTTTTTTTTTTTTTTTAATGTAAAATTTGATGTAATGATAACGAAAACACGTCCAAACACATTGGTAGTTGACAAAATTCTATTGAAAGGGCACTATAAAATTACACCTTAATTAACTAATTAATTAATTAATTATACTACAATAGTCTCCTTGCTAAAACACTCTCTAAACGTAACCTCAGCCTTGTCATCCTTCAAAACGACGTCGCAGCATTCGGCTCTATCCATCTGCCACAATCAATCAATAATATATTCGATATATCTATGAGTACAATTTCAATTTTACTTATTTATATATAAATTAATGAAATAATAATTATTTTTTTATTGTACATAAAATTATTCAAGTTTGATCCTATAATTACTTTTCCAATAGAAATTGATGATATGAAAGTTGACAAAGAACTTAGGCCGTACTGATTTAAATACAGCTATGTTAGATGTTTTTAAAAGTTAGAATAAATTTTAGACATATTTGTGTCATCAATTTCTTTTGAAAGAGTATTAGTAGAATTAGAGTTGATCAAAATTTGTCAACGAACAAATGCCAATTAATATGATATAAATAAATTTTTTAATTATAAATTTATGGCAAAATTGCTCATAATTTTTTTCTAATTTCGAAATTCAACGAAAATCCCTATTTATTTTTAAAATTGCATGACGCCACCTTATATTTTAAAAAATGTTGCATAAAATTCCAATATAGTTTTAAAATTCAGCGTAAATACCCACTTTACTTTAAAATATTGCATGAAACCCTGTTATTCAAAATATATAGATAAAAAGGATGTCATGCAATTTTTAAAATATAGGGAGATTTTGCGCTGAATTTTGAAATACACGAGAGTTACGGAAAATTTTACCTAAAATTATTAATTACCTGTGTCCGCTTGGTCGGCGGCGACAAGACATGAATCTCGGAGATATTATTGGCGGGAACGCTGTGGGGGCTGGAGCACGGCGGAAGGCCACGTGGCGCGTGGCGGGAGTAAGTGGTGAGGATTCCGGCGGGGGTTTTTTGGGCGTGGGTGAAGAAGAAGAGGTGGGGGGCTTCGCAGGGGTCCTTGGAGGGGTCGGGTCTGGTGTTGAACATGAACTGCGGCGGCGGACGCGGCTGGCCGACCCAGATTTTGAAGGTCTCGAGGGGCTTCTGGAGGTGCCAGCGTGGCATGATCTTCTCGTAGATGTGGGCGGAGTAGCCCCAGGCGACGGAGAACGACCACTGGTTCTGCTTGTGGTGGCAGATGGTCTGCTGCATCATCCGCGACTGGTCCGCCGCCGCCGCCGCCTTCATAAGGCGGCGCGCTGACTCCGACCGGTTGGTGCCGGGGAAGATGGGGTCCACGTGGTCGAAGTGGTGGAGGGACAGAATCGGGACCGGCGGGTGGGCCGACAGAAGTCCAGAGATGTCCCCGTGCATGTCAATCTGCGCAGAAATAATTTATGAGAGGATTTTTTGTATTAGATTAAAAAATAATTTGCTCCATTTTAAGGTGCAATATTTATTTTTGGCACGAGTTTTTAAGTGGATAATATTAATTAGAATAATTTAGAAATTAAGTGATGTGATAGAGAGAGAAATGTATATTTTATTTTTTTATTTGGACGATGTAATAGGATAAAGTGTGGGGTAGAGATTAAGTATGATTAATTATATCCTGTTTTGGAAATGTTGCAGGATATTTGGGACATACCAAAAAGAAAATGTTGCAAGGTGTTTGGGACGGAGGGAGTAATATTTTATTGATTAGTGGAAGTGTGTAAGAGATTTTGACATTTTTGCTGTTTAATTTTTTTGTAAAAAATAAGTATACGTGTAATGGTATATGGTATTAGTGTATGATTACTTTTGTTAAAAATGAAAAATTATAGTTTGAAATGAGACAAACAAAAATGCTAAAAGAGATACTTTGAATTGAGACGAATGAAGTATTTTTTCGAAAAATATAGAGTTCTAGTAAAAATTTGAGGTTTGAAGACAAAAGAAACAAATTCAAATTTATATAAATACTCTTATAATTTTTGGTATTATTATATACTTCCTCTGATCTCTGTCTTATATCTATTTATTCGTTTGTTTTTTTTACGAAGTTTTAAAAAATATTAATATTATATTTGATTTTTTTAAAAAAATAAAAGATAAAAAAAAAACTAAAATATCCTCAAGATAAAAATTTATTATAGTGATATGTTTATAATATAGAGTAAGTTTAAAAATAATTTTGATAGAATGTAGATATTAGAGTAATTAAAACAGTGATTATTTTATTTTCGAACATACTAAAATAGTAAAATGAATAAATAAAATTAAATACCAAGAACTCATCCAATTCTTTTGTACTTCAATTTTAATTCGACACCAACATATACATACATATATATATATAGAGAGAGAGAGAGAGGGAGAGGACCTGATGGAAACCCTTGTGGGGAGACAGGCTGACTCCGACATCAGCTGCGCAGACCATGGTGATGAGGTCGGCGGCGTTGATGTGCGCACTTCGCCGGAGACATTTCTCCATGTCGTCGGCCATGGCCTTCGCCAGAGGGTAGCTGAGGACGAATCCAGCCCCGCCGAATCCCTGGACGAACGAGAACCAGAAATTCGACATCACAAACTCCGACGGCGTCCCAAAATAGTAATACTTCCGATGATCATAACCCGCCACCATATCCAAAATATTATCCACAAAAAATATCGAATCGTCGTCCCCCATCACCACCCACCTTAGGTTCCCGTCGTCCGCGTCCCTCACCGCCTCCATTATCGCGTGAACAATCCTGATCGCCACCGGCGCCGCCGCCTTCGTCTCCGCCAGAAACGCCGTCAGATTCTCCGACACCCTGTACGGCGGCGACGCCTCCGACCACGGCCCCGTCGGGGGTTTGTCGAGATACAGGAATCCCCGGGTCGCGTTCGGCCGCCACCACGACTCGATGTACGGTCTCCGGTGGCCCCACGCCGCCGCCGACCCGACCAGGCCGAATGCCAGGTGGGCCAAAGTCGTCGGAGACGACGACGACGACGATGGCGGCGACGGCGAATCGGACGGTCTGAATTTGATGGGCGAAATGATGTTGAAATTATTGAATGGGGAATATTCATTAGGGATTGAATTGAAGATCACGTACAAGAGAAGGATTGAAATCAGGAGATGTTTGAATATATCTGATGTATGCATTTGATGATCATGAAATTTTTTTAGAAAGAAAATCTATACACTTTCGAATCCTATCCTTTCCACTAAAAATGTGCCCTTACATGGTTTTTATTTCATACCTTAAAATATTTCATGTAAATAATATATATATATATATATGTTTAGGAACTTGTGGCATACATAGATGATACATAGAATATAAACTATATATAGAAAGGCACACGCCCCTTGTCCCACATCGGCTATGTTAAACTTGTAAATTATTTTATTATTTTTTATATAAAAGAATTTGTTTCATATAGATATTTTTTAAGTTTTTAAAAAAAATTAAAATAATATTTAAAATGATATTCTGTAAAAATAAAAAATATAGTTTCTTTGTAGCTTTCGCTTCCCAATAAAATATTTATTTATTTTTTAATAACTGTACTATCTATTTAACACTACAATTCAAATTTAAAATACATTACACAAATGTTTCTAATAAGGTTAGTTTATTATTTTTACCTTTATTTCTACTATATCCCAATAAAATACTATTTCTAAAACTCTGTGCAAAAAGTAAATGGATAGATAGATACGGGACCGAGGGAGTATTTGATATGAATTATTTTTTTAAAAAATAATTATAAATGAATAATATCAAAATTTTAAAAAATATTTGTATAAAAAGAGTTTTAATTTGACATAGGACACATCGTTTAATACAATGGGATATTTTGTTGCTAGTGCTTTTGACATAGGACATGTAGATGTATTTATTTTATACCATAGTGAATTTAAAACCTATATGGTGTCTAAACTTCAACGGCAAAAGAAGAATAGTAAAATGGAAAATTGGTTGGTCTATTAAAATTTGAGCGGAGATAAATTATATATATATATATATTTTTATTGAAAATAAATTAAAATTATATTTTGAATGTCTTAGAATGTATATTTCAATAAAATATACTAAATATAAATATTATTTTATATAGAAAATAAAATTTTACATAACAAAAATATAAAAAACACATATGTATGTATATATATATACATAATATAAATTGGTTTATAAAAACATATGAGATTTCAATTGTATATAATCTACTTGCTTATTTACGAGACAAATAGAAATAAAAGATTACAAGTGAGTTTGAATTTAAAAAACTTTGAAAACTAATTGAAATAATATATGTATATATATAAATATAGTGTCAATTAAAAGTCACGGATAATACTGCAGTTAAGATCATATACTGAATAACTAAGAAATTATTGTGTTTAAATTATATTAATAATACAATTAAATTTATTTTTGAAAGCATTCGGCACTTATGCAAATTTTATTTTTCAGCATATGATCCACGGCCAATATACTGAGCTTGTTTTTTTGTGTAGGATCATTTTCTTAAAAATTGTCTTTATATGTTATGAATATGTATTTATTATCATTATTATTATTTTGTTAGATTGGTGTGGCGATATCGCAACCCGGCATACTTTCTTGTTGATAATTCTTGTTTGTATTGCTAAGTTTTGGGGCTGATGCCAAAATTTGTATGTAGCATTTGTCACGGTTTTGAGACATTGACAAATAGTTAATATGATTGAACCTTTAGAGATGCTATTACTTAATGTAACTCGGAATTCTTTTACTATTTTTATTTATAGTGAAAAATATGAATGACGGTTCTAAACTCAGAGATATATAATTCTAAAATTCTCTGGAAAGTGGTGGATCATTTGAAAACATCTTACAACTTGTACATAGAGCTTTGATGATTGTACATTTCAGAATTTTCTAAGATAATATCGATGGAGTTTTTGGCCAAAATCAAGATTTTGATTTTGAATGAAAAAAAATTACATGTATAGTTGATGTGGGAAATCCAGTACTGAAAGATTATTTTAGAGAAAATTTTTACTTATAAAATTATTTTCAAGGCCTGATTCATTTAAAGTGATTGATTAATAAGGAGAGTTAGGTGTGAGACTAAAAATAATTTATCTAATTTTTGTATTTAAAAAAATTTCAAAAAATTTGTATCTAGTTGGAGCCTATGAGGTGCTTCAATGAGCTTGTTTTTGACTTGCGCCAAAAAGATCAAAATTAGCCTAATATTGTTGTACTATTGCATAAACACTAATCAAATCCTCTCTTAGTTCAATAAATTTATTTTCCTCAAATTTTATTTAATTATTAATTTTGATAAAAATTTAAAATTAATATTTAACTGTTACTATCTATTCAATATTTATTTAATATAATATTACTATCATTTAGATCTTATTTACATTTTTTTTTTCATTCTCTTGAAACTTTCATAAATACTTCTAATTATTTTTATACTTTTATAATTTTTTATAAAATATTTATTTATTTTTTCTAAAAAAAATTTCCGTGCTGTTCAAAATTACATAAAATTTTACATGCAAAATGTAAAATTTACTCATTCTGGATGTTGTAGAATGCAAAATTAAGGTCATCTTTTATTTTATTTTTTATTTTATACTCCCTCCGTCCCTTAACAATCTATCTATTTTTCTATTTTGGTCCGTCCCATAACAAAGTATTCGTTTCCTTTTTTAGTAATTGTACGGTCTACCTAACATTACAACTACCCTTCTAATTTACAATATATTATATAAATGTCATTACCTTTATATTATATCATACAATACTAATAGGGTTAATTTAGTCTTTTTATCTTTATTTCTACTTTATCCCAATATAATATTAATATTCCTAAAATTCCGTGCATAAACAAAATGGATTGGTAGATTGGGGACGGAGGGAGTATTTGATGACGTAAGAATTTGCAATTGTTACTTTTTTAGTATATTTTGAATAAATTTTATATCGAACCTAATAATCCACAAACTAAATTTGACAAAGCAAATCACATCAAGTGAAAATCGTTTGGGCGTTTTATTTTAATCCATCCACTAAATTTATTCAATTACTAATTTTGAAAAAATCAACAAATCAACATTTAATTATTATCCTTTACTCAATATTTATTTACAACAAATACCACTAATTTTATTATATTCTCTTTTCATTTACTTTATTTTTTAACTATATTTTCAAAAATATCTTCAATTATCTGTCATTTTCTTAATAAAATATTTATTTTTCTTAATTCTCCTGTCGAACCAATAAACTAATTTTAATGGATGGAGAAAGTATTAATTATTTAATTATACTGCAAGGGTGTCATTGCTGAAACACTCCCTAAACGTCACCTCTGCCTTCTCGCCCTCCAAAACGACGTCGCAGCATTCCGCTCTATCCATCTGCCCACAATACATATATTAGATCTGAATCTTTGAGCTCTTAATTTATATACAAAAATGCTCTTAATTTATATACAAAAATTAAGAAAAATATAATATTCAGTGTAAAAGTAAGAGGTCAATTTAGGGTGTGATTGTTTGGGGGGTTTGGATTTTGAGTTCAGATTTGAATAGTAAAAATTTTAAATTCGAATAGTTGTATAATATGATATAAATAAGTTTTGATATGATATTTGGAATGTAAAATTGATTTTTAGTATATAAAAAATGAAAAATATGTATTTGATTTGATGTTTTTTAGGGGAAAAAATAGAATGAATAGTGAATTTAAAATCCCCAAACAAACACAAAGTTAGAGTATTTTGAATTTTTCATTAAGAAAATAAGTTTTAATTGATAATTTGCTGATGATTGAAGCGTTAAAGTTTTTATTGTGTATTGAAACATATATTAAAAACATTATTGTAGATACAAAATTTAAAAAAAAAAAATAATATTTTATTAAAAAAATAATTTAAAAATAAAATAATTTTATTTAAAATTTAATTAAAAGTAAAAGTAAATGAAAAAAAATAGTAAAACAAAATAATATTTGTTGTAAATAAGTATAAAAAAGTAATACTCCTACTAGTTATTTTTTTTTAAAAAAAATCATAATATTCTTTATGTCCGGCTCTAAGGTCTCATCTTTCTTTTGCATTGTAATTAACATTAAAAATATCTTTATATTTGTATAATTTTTTTTTGCATAAATGTGATTATAATAGTATTATAAGACACTAATAAAAGTATTTTTGTTTTGTATGTTAATTTGTACTGTATTTTTATATAATAATTAATATTAAAAAATTAATATACAAAAAATAAATAAGATTCTTAGAGTCCGGGGTAGTATTATTTTTTTTATTTTATAAAATTAATAATGTGATAAATTTGATTGACAATTATTTTAAAAGAAAAATTAAAAAAAAAAAAAAATTATGGTAGAAAGTAAAAATTTAATATGCATAGAACTAGTATATATCAACTACTATTAATACCTCCGTCCGCTTCGTCGGCGGCGACAAGACACGGATCTCCGAGATATTATCGGCGGAGACGCTATTCGCCCACCAGCACACGGGCAGGCCGCGTGGCGCTGCCCGAGAGTAGATAGTGAGAGTTCGATTGGGCGTCTTCTCGACCTCCCGGAAAAAGAAGAGGTGGGGAGCTTCGCAGGCGTCTCTGGAGGGCTCCCTAGTGTTGAACAAGAACTGCGGCGGCGGGCGGGGCAGCCCGGCCCAGGCCTGGAAAGTCTCGATGGGCTTCTGCAGAATCCATCGAGGCATCATCCTCTCGTAGATGTGGGCAGAGTATCCCCACGCGATCGACAACGACCAGTGGTTCTGCTTGTGGTGGCAGATCGTTTGCTGCATCATCCGCGACTCGTCCGCCGCCGCCGCCTTCATTAGCCGCCGCGCCGCCTCCGCCCGGTCCGTGGCCGGAAAAATCGGGTCAACGTGGTCGAAGTGGTGGAGGGACAGAATTGGGACTGCCGGATGGGCTGACAAGAATCCTGAGATGTCGCCGTGCATATCTACCTAAACAATTGATCGGAATCATTTTAATATTGTCGTCTTCCCCGTTCAAACACATTTTTACTTTTAAACTATAAATATATCACATTATACGTAAAATTATTTTATATATAAAGTCAAATGATACAAATATTAAAATCTCTTAAGTTAAATGATAAAACATTATTATTTTTTAATCTATTACAAAACTCTAAAGCTCCTATTTGAATTTGAGACGAAAAGAGTATTATTGAAAAACTATATAATATGTAATTAATATTTTATCCGTCTTAACTGAAAGTATCATTTTTATCATTTTCGTTCGTCTAGCTCTAAATATTAGTAGAAATTTTCTTAAAAAAAGTATTAATGAATTATAATTTTTTGTATTGTACGAACTTTTTTGTACGTTGAAAAATCATTCGTACAAAAATAAAAAAATAGTCAAAATATCATTTTTTGTTATGTTGAAAAATACAGAATAATTGGTACTTTATTAATATATACTGTTTGATACTGAAATTATATATTGTTATCGTACGGAAGTTTTGATTTTTTATTTTTCGATATGATATTACCTGATGGAGGCCTCTGTGGGGGGACAAACTGACGCCGAGATCAGCGACACAGACCATGGTGATGTGGTCGGCGGAAATGATCTGCGCCCCTCGCCGGAGACAGTTATCCATGTCGGCGGCGAGGGCTTTGGCGAGAGGGTAGCTCAGAATGACGCCGGCGCCGCCGAATCCCTGGGCGAAGGAGAACCAGAAATTGGACATTATAAACTCCGACGGCGCCCCGAAATAGTAATACTTCCGGTGATCATACCCCGCCACCATATCCACCAAATTATCCACAAAGAATATCGAATCGTCGTCCCCCATCACCACCCACCTGAGGTTCCCGTCGTCGGCCTCTCTGAACACCTCCATTATCGCGTGCACGATTCTGACGGCGAACGGGACAGCAGCTTTTGTCTCTTGCAGAAACGCCGTCAGATTTTCCGACAGCCGGTACGGCGGCGAGGCGTCGGGCCAGGGGAGGAGGTCCCCGGTGGGGGGCCGGTCGAGGAATATGTATCCGCGGGTGGCGTTTGGGCGCCACCAGGACTCGATGTAGCGTCTCCGGTGGTGCCAGGAGCCCTCGGAGCCGACGAGGCCGAAGACGACGTGGCGCAGAGTGGTCGGAGAAGATGAAGATGCAGAAGAGTTGGAATTTGGAGGTTTGTTATTAATGGATTTGAAGGATGACATTAGGTCGAAAGTGGAGAGGTGAGTGGGGAAGGAAATGAAGAGGATGTAGAGGATGAGTAGTGAGATCAAGAAATATTTGAAGATATCTGATGTACCCATTTCGCTTTTCTTCATTTGGTACAACATTCATTCCAATCCATACACACCTACATGTCATATATATATATATATAAATATATTCAAGAAAAAAAAAAAAAAAAACTGTTTGGGTATTTTAGTAGCATCCAATTACTTTTTTAATCACGATTTTCTATAAATATTTTTAAAAAATATAATATTTATATATTAACACAATATATAATATATATTTTATTTATCAATAAAAATTAATAATTAAATACGAAATATTAATTTTTATATTAAGCATATAATTCTTCATTTTAATATATAAAAAAAAAAATACATTTATCTAAAAACTTAGAACACCCCCACTATGTTATCTTTAAAAACAGTATATTTAAATTATTATTAAAAAAAAAAAAGAACAGTAAACTCTGAAATGATTAATTTGATGTTAGTTTATTAAGGATTTGTTATATAATTTTATTAATTGATGAACATTTTATTAATAAGAATAAATAGTATATCTTCATCATGAATTGTGATAATTTTATACTAAAATAGAAATTAAAATGTATTGAGAACACATCTAATATTCTTTTTTTTTAATACTTTCTCTCTCAGCACCTCAGCGTAGATCCTTTCTTCTATTTTATATTTACAACAAAAATATTCATCATAATTTTTTAATAATTTTTATTTTCATATTATATTATTATTTGTCAATATTTTGATTTATTAAAAAATTATGAAAAATAATTATATTATTTATTATTTAATTAAATTAAAATTTAAAATTTATTTAATAAATTAAATTAAATTTATTAATATTGATTTGTTAATAGAATTATATAATATTTGTATTTATATATTTTAAAATTTCAATTAATAAAATATATTCAATATTAATATCATTTTGTAGAACACAAAATATCATAAATTATAAAAATATTACAAAATTTAAATATAACAATAAATTCAATATAAATTAAAAAATAAAACATTATAATATATTATATATATATATATATAAATGCCATGTGTCCCAATTTACTTGGGACACATGGCAATTAATCAACATTTTCCTAGCATCTCTGAGATGCGGGAAAGCAACATCTTTATTTATTTTTATTTTTTTTAGAAAATTGCTGATGTGGTGCATATTGCGGTTGGCCTAAATAATGGTAAATTATAAAGTTTCACGTCATTAAAAAAAAGAAAAAAAAAGAAAAAGAAAAATAAATTATATAATATCACATTGTGTTTTAGTAAAAATAAAAAAATATCATCTGTTTAATTTATTACGTGAAATTCTCTCGAGTTAATGAAAAATTTACACAAAACATTATTTTTGTCTAAAATTGATGTTTGGTTCTAAATAAAGACCTAAATTACACAAGTTTTATACAAATAAAAAATAAAAAATATTTTAAATAATTTTTTTTATATAAAATAAATAAATAAACAATTGATCAATCATTTATTTTTATAGTTTTTGTAAATATCAAATAACAATGTGTATAAAAAAATTATAAAATGAATGATTAATCAATTATTTATTTATTTATTTTATTCAAAAAAATTATTCTTTGTGTTTCGTGCAAATTTTACATTAACACAGAAAGTTTCACGCAATAAATAAAATATAAGATGTTTTTGTACATTTTTACTAAAATATAAGAAGGTATTATACTCCCTCCGTCCACTTACAATGTTTACATATTTCTATTTTGGGATGTTCAATTACAAAGTTAACATTTCATTAAATACTCTATTTTTTTCCACAAATATCCTTACTTTACATCACATCATTACTTTTACACAAAAAGTAAGGGCAAAAATGTCATTACACTACTTTTAACTATTCACTATAATTAAAATACTATTATTTTTTAAACACCGCGTCAAAAATAAATGTAAACATTGTAAGTGGACGAAAGAAGGGAGTATAATTTACCCCATCAATAATTCGAAAAATAACTGTTACAAGTTCTCACATTATTTAAAAAAATAAAAATAAAAATAATTCGAGTTGTAATTCAAAAGATAAACAGCATTACTCTTTCACGATTCTTTAAAAAATATTATTTACTAAGTATTTATGTTAGACTAATTTATGAACTATATAAAATTGTTTTTTCAAAGATGTTAGTTATTTGATATTTAAGTAGACTCATTAGTTGACAATAAAAACTAATAGCTTCACATATCTTTAATTTATATATAAATCCGTACGGTTAGGCTCTTGATGGAATTTATCAACACCAAGCTGATGATCCAAATTAGCATATAAAAATTACTATCTACTCCCTCTGTCCCGCGAAAGATAGGAGTTTTTTTTTAAGGGTACGGTATTTTAGGTAGCATAGGTTATTAAGTTATTAATAATAAATTAAGATAATATTATATTATTTTTATATGAGTAGTGTTGTTGGTATTTTTTTTTAAATACTTTTAGAATTATATCTAAAAAAAAATGCAATATGGATATTATTTTGTAGACTATAAAATTTTATATAATACAAATGAATAAAAAAATATATTTATTTATTTATCATTACCATAAATTAGTTTTATAAAAAAAAGAGGAGTTTTAAAAGTTGATAAAAATATTTGTTAATTGAGAAGAGAGATAAAAATAAAGGAGTTTTGAATGGCCGTTCGAATTTTGAATTAAAATTTGAATAGTAAAAAATATTAATTTAAATAATTGTATAATATGATATAAATAAATATTGATATAGTGTTTTGAATATAAAATTTATTTTTAATATAATATAAAAAATAAAAAATAATTATTTAATTTAATATTTTTAGAAAAAAAAATTATATGAATAATATAAAATCCTTCAAACAAACACACAAAGAATGTAATTGATTTGTATTTAAAGCCAAAATTACTATTATTTAATTTGTAAAATTATCAATAAAAATATATTATCTTTTATTATAAAATATTATATTAAAAATAGTATTTAAAACAAAATTAAAATTTCAATGTGAAACCAAAACCAAACAAAGCCTCTCTGTCTATATATATCTATATATATGCCAATTACTTGAGCATCTTATTTGGACTGACATATACCAAACAATATTAATTTCCGTTCACCTTTTAGATTGTACTTATTATAGCATATATATATATATATAAAATATACAGGTAAATTGTTTTTTTAGTTTCGTAACTGGACCTCTTTATCATATTAGTCTTGTGAGTAGAGTCTGTCGCAAACTAGTTTCATAAGTAAAAAAATTTCGTTGTTTTAGTCTTCCGGCGCCGGAGATGCCCGCATGGCTCGCCGAAGGCCACGTGTCCGCCAAGTCAGCGATACCTAACGGACACGTGGATTTTATTTTTTAATTTTTTTCATTTTTTAAAATTTTATTTATTTGGTCCAATTAAATAAATAAAAAATAATAAAATAAAATCCACGTGTTCGTCAGGTGTCGCTGACCCGGCAGACATGTGGCTTCCGGCGAGCCAGGCGGTCGTCTCCGGTGCCGGAGGACTAAAACAACGAAAATTTTTCACTTATGAAACTAGTTTGCGGCAGGCTTCACTTACGATACTAAAATAATAAGGGTTAAAAAAAAAAAACAATTTACCCTGATATATATTTGTCCTTGGAAATGCCATTTAATTAGCTATATATAGTTTATTTAAACGTCATTTATTTACCTAGCCCACTCTTGGATTAACCCATTAATTATTTTGTCAGAAGTCAACCTTTAAGAATTGCAAAAACTGTGAAAGTGGATGCTCCATTTTGTCACTTAAATTTATACTGAATAGGATTATGTTCAATTTTATAATTAGAATAAGTTAAGAAGTAATTTTTTTTAATTAAAAAATATTTTTATGAAATATATTATATTACTCAAATTATTTGACTTTTATAAATCAAAATGTTTAAAAGTAGTATATATTTTATTTATAGTAGAATGCACACACACATATATATATATATATATTTATAAAAAATTACTATGCAATTTTTGTTTTTTTAGTAAAAAAAAAAAAAAAAATACTTTAGTAAAAATTATTTTACTATAAATCAAAATGTTTTGTTTTTATAAGACATCTCAAACACAAAAAAAGATATTATCTGTAAAAAAAATTTGTTTTGTTAGTAATTTTTTTTTTAGAAATATTATCAATACTTTTTTTTTTCAAATATTAATTTACTAATCCGTATTTTATTTTCATTTGAAATTTGCATTCAATAATAGACGATAATCTCAAACAAAAACAAAATGTATGCTATCAGTTTTATATTTAAAATGTGTGATTTATATAAATATTTTATGTATGTCATGTGTTCTTAGTTTATTTGTTTTATTTTTTATTATATTAATAAATAATTTATTTTATGTACACAATGTACTATTTCATAGTGTACGGTGTGCTATTTATTACGATGTTGAATTTTAAGTTCAACACCGTAACCATCGTCTTGAAGAAGATATAAAATTAGACTATCTTGGAGAATTGCTTACTAAAATAGACCTACTTTTTTGTAATATTTTTTAAATGAGTAACGATTTTAAATTATACCTTGAGCATTACCATAACTAGGAGAAAATATTAAATTTAGGGTGTGTTTGTTTGGGGGTTTGGATTTTGAGTTGGGATTTGAATAGTAAAAATTTTGAATTTGAATAATTATATATTGTGATATAAATAAGTATTGATGTGATGTTTTGAAAAATATGACGTTCATCGCTAAAATATTACTGCCAAAAAATTTAATTTGGCCTTGAAAATTTGGTTTGGAATTTTAACTAATTACGAGACAGTCTTTTTTACTATTGGAATGATTTTGTAATATGTAGATACATACTCCATCCGTCTGTCTCTATGATCACATTTACCTTTTGCTTAACATTAAAAATATTTTCATATTTGTATATATATATATATATTTTTTTGTACAAATGTAATACACTAATGAAAGCATTTTTATAATTTTTTTTAATCTATACCACGTTTTGATATAATAATTAATATTTAAAGATCAATATGCAAAAATGTGATCCTCAAAGCCGGACGAAAATAGTATATATTAACGTTCTTGAATATAAATTATTTTTGAAGTATAAAATGAAAAAGAAAATAAATATTCAATTTGTTGTTTCTGAAATGAAAATTCATTTACATTAATAGGAAACATCAAATTCAAAATCAACAAACAAACACAGGCTACCAAAATTGGTTTGTTACAATTTGTTATCATAAAAACTAAAATATTAAATCTAATCAATAAATATTATATTTTTTTTAGTATAAAACAAATATACTGATATTTTTAATAAAATTATTGTGAATAAAGGTTAATAAGTTTGAATGCATGAGAGGAGTGTATACATGCACACCACAAATTTTGAATAATTCAACTATCAAAATTGAAATGTTAGGTATTGACTCTATATATAAAATAATTGCATGTGTAATAGTATATTTGTATTTTAAATAAAAGTTAAAGTGATTTTGGAATTAATGTATAATTACTTTTTTCTAAAGTAGGAGAAAAAAACTTTGAGATGAAACAGATGAAAAAAAAAAAATACTTTGAATTAAGAGACAGAGTCTATTAATTTTTTCTGGAAAAATGTGTGTATTTTTTTTTTAAAAAAACAATATCACATCAATTTCAAATCACAACTAAATAAACATATTTTATAAAAATATTAGGCTAAATTGCACAAAATCTACCCGTGGTTTCATGAAATTGCGCCAAATCCCCTATGCTTCTAAAACTGCGTTAAACTCCCTCGTGGTTTCATAAACTCTGCGTCTAACCCCTTCGGTGGTCTTTATTTAACGGTATTTGACCTAAATGTGCCTAAATTACAAATAAATTTTAAAATCTCAATTTCTAAACCCCTATAATTATAAATATATTCATTTTTCTTATATTTAGTCTAAAAAAAATAATAAATATACTAAAATATAATTATTTTTATCAGGTTTTAAGAGTTTATTTTTATTGTTTTTTTAAGCTAAATATAAGAAAAAAATATATATATTTTTAATTTTAGAGATTTAGAAATTAAGATTCTAAAATTTATTCATAGTTTGGGTGCATTTAAGTCAAATACTGTTAAATAAGGAACGCCAAGGGGTTAAACGCAAAGTTTATGAAACTATAAGGGAGTTTGACGCAATTTTAAAAGTACGGAAGATTTGGCGCAATTTCGTGAAACCACATGCGAATTTTGTGCAATTTAGCCAAAATATTACTCCCTCCGTCCTAGCTAAAGTGTTACGCTACTGTATACATGAGAATTTAAATAAAATATAATTAAAAAGTAGTTAAAAAGTGTATTAGTAAAAATAGTTACTATTATATAATAAACTTAAGTATAGATTAAAATTAAGATAACTAAATAGTTTAATTAAGATTTAAAAAACTATAAACTATAAAATTTAAAATGTGATTAAAGTGTATATTATATATTTTTTTAGAAAGAACAAATTGTGTGAGACGGACGAAAATAGCAAAAATAGACACTTTATGTGGAACATAGGGAATACCATTAAAAAATAATACTCCCTCCGTCCCAATACAATAGTCTTGTTTACCATTTTTGTCCGTCTCAAAACAATAGTTTTATTTCTATTAATAACCGTATCACTGAAAACTACCCTTACTTTTTCATTTTTATTACATAATTACCACTGCTTTTTACACTAATACACTCACAGGAGCAAAAAAAGTCTTTTATCCATACCTTTTACCCACTACCAATATAATATCAATATTCTTTAAATCTTGTGTCCAATCCAATTAAAATTATATTTATGGGACGGATAGAGTATCAAAATTTGAAAAAATATGAATATAACCGGTCATTTATCAGAAAAGAGAATAAAAACTACCCTTATCCTAGCTAATATATATTTTTTGTGTAAATATTATTTTATCTTATATTTTAATTTAATACCGATAATGCAGATAAGTAAGTTTATAATTATTTGAGTGTTTTTTTTTATTACTTAAATAAACAATTTCACTCTATATTTGGTATAATTTTTAATAAAAATATATATTTTTTATAAAATATTATTTATATCAAAATTCAAATCATTATACTCATTTTCAAATAATAATAAAAAAACCCTTTATAATGTCTAAAAAGATCATATTTATCATAAAAATACATAAATTGTATTTAAACAAATAAAGTGACAAAAATGTATATTTAATTAGAGGACAAAGGTTAATAAATTTATTTTTGATTTTTATATAGAGATATGATTATTATGCAATAACCTCACCAACGGCGCATTCTCTGAAATTGACCTTAGCCACGTCACCATCCACACCAACAATGTCGCAGCATTCACTTCGATCAATCTGCCACCAAAACCATCTAACTAATTACTAAATAATTAATAAAATAAATAATACGTCGTCTGGCTACCTTAAATGTTTATATTTATATTTTAAAATATTAATTATTATATTAAATTATAATATAAATTAAAAAAATAAAATAAAAATAGTTTTATTAGTATTTAATCATTATATAAATATAAAAATATTTTTAATATTAAATAAAATATTGAAAAAAAAATAAAATGTAAACTTATTAAACAGATTGAATAATAAATTAATTATTATACTCCCTTCGTCGCATATACTATTTTCTATTTTTGTTCGTTCTAAAACAAAGATATCTTTTCATTATTTAGTAATTTTACTACATCTCTAATATAATTAATATCCTTACAACTGTGTCATTAATTTTATATCACACAATCTAATTGGCACATTTTTATTTTTTTTTCACTATAAATCAATATAATACTAATATTAAAAAATTTATGTTCTTATTTAGTTTTAAAAATAATAAAATTATATTCTGTTTTTAAACATTTTACATTTCATATTATTTTCCTTATATGAAAAATGATTATATAATTTAATTTAATTTTAATTAATTATTTTAAAATAACTGGCCGAAAAGATCATTACAGTTACCTCTACCCGCTTCCCCGCCGGAGAATCCACGAGAATCTTCGAGACGGAATCGGCGGCATCGCCGTGGCACGGAGGCAGGCCTCGCCGCGCCGCCCGGGCGTAGGCCGTGAGAATCCTGCCCGTCGGAACCTTCGTCACTTCTTCCAAGAAGAAGACGTGGGGAGACTCGCAGGAGGTGTTCGATAGGCGGCGCGTGTTGAACATGTACAGCGGCGGCGGGCGACGCGCCGGCGACCAGGGCTGGAAGGTCTCGACAGGCTTCTGCAACTCACTCCGGGGAATGATGGTCTCGTAAATGTTGACCGAGTAGCCCCAGGCGACTGAAACCGACCAACTCCGGCGCCGGTCGTAGCAAATCGTCTGCTGCAGCATCCGCGACTGGTCGGCAGCCGCCGCCTTCATGAGGTGGCGCGTGGAGTCGAAACGGTCCATGGACGGGAAAATTGGCTCCACCAAGTCGAGATGGTGGAGGGAGAGTAATGGCGTTTTTGGGTGGGCCGACAGCAGCCCGGAAATGTCGCCATGTAAATCGATCTGAAAATTACACGGAAGTAATTTATTTAACCACGATTGATTGTAATAAAAATAATACTAGTATTAAATTAATTAATACGTTATTTGTATATTTTTTTATGAATTAATTTTTAATGTGATAAGAAAAAGTATATGAAAATTATAAAATATATTATTTTAAATTAACATTTTTATTGATATTAAAAGTATTACCATAAAATTTTCGTACTAATATTTATCAATTATACAATGTTTTTTTTTTTTTTAAAAAAATAAATTAAAAACCTTCTATATGTTTTCTTTTGTACAAAATCCAGGATGTATTTTGTTTTTATTTCAAATTAAAGTTTTGATTTCATTATTTAGTATTTTGATATTATATTTTATAAGATAAAATAATATAATTTAATTTAAAATAATAATACTATAAAAATATATTTCAAATAAAAAACAAACAAACTTCAATATTATACTATAAAATATATATACAATATAAATATGATTTTATAGATAATTCATATAATACAAATAAAATATGTACATACTTATTGATTTAGAATTAACTTAAATTAATTTTATAAAAAAAAATAGAACATTATAAACATAAATAAAAATATCATATTAATAAAAAGATTTTAAGCAGATATACATTTAATAATAATTTAAAATTTTATTAAAATTAATTTAAATTTATTAAATATTTTAAAAATAAATAAATCCATTAAAAAAAAAAAAAGTCATGCGGGAATGTGAGGGGTATTATTTTAAAACCTGGTGGGACCCTTTGAGTGGAGTGAGGTTGACGCCCAGATCAGCGACACAATGCATCGTAATCAAATCAGCTGAATTCTCGCCGGCGTGTCGCCGGAGACAATTCTCCATGCCGTCGGCGAGGTCCTTCGCCAGCGGATAACTCAGCACGAATCCGGCGCCGCCGAATCCCTGGTCGAACGCGAACCAATAATTAGACATCACGAACTCCGACTGCCCCCCAAAGTAGTAATACCTCCGGTGATCGTACTTCGCCAGAAAATCGACGATATTGTCGACGAAAAACACAGAGTCGTCGTCGCCCATCACCACCCACCGGAGATCCCCGCCGTCCATTTCCCTGAACACCTCCATAATCCCGTGGACCATCCGGATCATTATCGGGGCGACGGCGCGCGTCTCCGCGACGAACGCCGTCAGGTCTTCCGACACCCGGAAAGGCGGCGAGGCGGCGGACCACGGCAGGAGGTCGCCGCCGGTGGGTGGTTTGTCCAAGTAGAGGAGTCCACGTGTCACATTCGGCCTCCACCATGATTCGATGTAAGCTTTTCTGTGATGCCAGGCTTTCTCGGAGCCAAGAAGTCCGAAGGCCACGTGGCGGAGATCCGTCGGAGTGTCGCCGGACCGATCGACGGCTGAGAATGAAGAAGAGATTGGGTCACCGTGGAAAGGGAAGAGATCGTGGTTTTTCGAATTGGTCAGAAAAATGAAAATCAAGCAAATGAACAAAGTAGAAAACGTTAGGGTTTTCCATAAATCCGAAGAACCCATTAATTTGGCAAGGATTAATAATCAGGTCAAATTGTGAAAATCGTACATACATACATACATACATTAATTGATCATGATCTTATACGTGAATGAGCAGTACTAGTGATGAAACGATTGGTTTAAGGTAAGGATGCAAGAACTGTTTTTTTCATTAAATTAATTAATGTTATTACAATAATATATCATAGTCGTATATGGAATCTGCATTAATTTTGATCTGTTGTGTACTAAATTAATCAATTAATTAATTAATTATGATTATATTATAAAATGCCCTGGAATGTAACGCCAGAAGAAAGTCAAAACCTCGCCTGGAAAACTGTATTCCACAGCCACAGGGCCGGCCAGCTTTACTTCGACGGGACGACTTGCTTTACAACCCCAAAAATATTACTAACATAATCTCAATACCAAATAAGTTAACAACGCAACTAGAACGTGATTGAAACTCTTATTAAATTATATGCAATATAAATTATAGTAGCTATAGGTTTTCAATAAAATATAAGTTGGTTATTACTGTTTTTGAGAAACGTTATAAAATAATAAAAAGTTTGTATTGTTATGATATTTTAGGGGAAAAACATCATACAATTAAAATTTACTAATTTTGGTTTCAACAAAGTAAAATGTGTTTGTTCGGGGGTTTGGATTTTTAATTGAGATATGAATAGTAAAAATTTTGAATTTGAATAGTTGTATGATGTGATATAAATAGGTGTTGATGTGATGTTTTGAATATAAAATTGATTTTTAGTATAATATAAAAAATGAAAAATAGGTGTTTGATTTGATGTTTTTATGGGGAAAAAATTGGATGAATAGTGGATTGGAAATCCAATCCCCCAAACAAACACACCCTAATAGTAATAATAATAATAATAATAATAATAATAAGAAACTCATCCTCGGTCAAGCTTGGAAGATCTGCAAACAAATCATCAATGTCAATGGTGGCTCACTATGTACGGCTATAGATACATGCGGAGCTCCATCGTTTCATGTAACGGTCTAATGAGGCTACTATGAAATATTTACTCGTGGGTGCAAGCTCTTCCATTCTGGTTCATGGTTTCTCTTGGCTATATGGTTTATCCAGGGAGAGATCGAGCTTCAAGAAATAGTACAAGAATCGAAAGATGTTGATACGGCTAAGCATATTCTTTCGTAAATCATCGATGGTTGCTTCTCAATAGATATAGTATCTTAAATCATTCGATGAGGCTGGTCACCCTCCTGCTCGCCCTGGTCACCAGAAAGTTGTTCATCCTCATCTATCGACTCACTAGCTCTCGTACCTGTGTTCAAACTCCTTCTTAAACACCGTCGAATTAAACATACCTGCCAATACATAATTGAACTCATAATTCCACTTTGATAAATTGATCTCCGCCTACCGAGCCAACTTATATTTCCTCCGTCATGTGAACTTATGTCCATTTGACCGAACATGAGTTTTAAGAAAAGTGAGTAAAATATAAAAAAATTTTATAGTAAAATTTTTTTTTACTAAAAATGGAAACAAAATTAAATTTAAATGACATTAAAAAAAAGAAAGTGAAAATAAATTAGAATAACAGTATTATTATATAGATATGTATCAAATAAATCCTATATATATAATTATATACTTCCTCCGTTCTAATACAATAGTCTTGTTTACCATTTTTGTCCGTTCCAAAACAATAGTCTTATTTTCATAAGTAACTATATCACCATAAAATTATCCATACTTTTTCATTTTTATTACAGAATTGCCACTACTTTTTACACTAATACACTCACAGGGGCAAAAAATTCTTTTACCTATACTTTTTATCAACTACCAATATAATATCAATATTCCTTAAATCTCGTATCCAACTCAATTAAAACTATAGTTCTGGGATGGAAGGAGTATATAATATAAATATATATTAGACCTCCTACTTGTATTGAGTCCTGGGCAGGCGCCGTTCTTGCCGGGGCTCAGGGCTGCCCTGCTCATTATTTTTATAACCATGCATGTCATCTGTACTCTTCGAAAATCACAAGGCATCATGACACAATAATGATCCACAACCTCTTTCTCAAAATCTATAAGGCCCTTTGTCAATTGAGTAACATGTGGATCAAGGACAATTTTTTCGAGATGGCCACCTTTGATATGATGTATCATAAATCGAGCAAATAGAAAATCCAAATTGATAGATTAACCGCTCAAGCATATTCCAAAGATAGCATACATCATTACTAGAGAATGCCCATGTGCTCTCGCCACGGCCAAAAAGTGAATGGCGTAAAATATAGTGTATAAGTTGTAATGGTGGGTATCGAAAAGTTGATATCTTGGAACATGAAGAATTGTAAACTTTTTATGTACTAATCCTAGACCTGTAGTACACTACAAATTAAACCTCCATAAGAACAAGCACACCCCATTAGTCATTCGATTCCACAAAGTTCCGATCGTATAAATCTATTATCACTGAAAAATTGATAAGTGATATCAAAAATAATATTCCTCGTAGCCTAAATGTTATAGTCTTCAATTTTTCATATAATAGTTCACCTAATAACTCAACTCCACAATCTAAACAAAGAAAACAAGCGCATGCCCCTACTGAAACTAACGGCTCCACATCCTCGCTCACCCCGAAATTAAACAGACAAAGCACCCGAGTTGATATGCTTACTTTTTGAGAATTGTCTATTCCTCAAAATCTTTTATATCATTCAACATGTTTTATTTCTCTAAAATTGAAAACCTCATTATTTGGCTCTACCCTCATAATAGATGTCAAAGAACTTGTACTTGCATCAATCTGACCTCTCTTAGTATTACCTATTTCTCTAGATGCCATTCTTCTACATTATAAAAACCAAGAACAAAAACTTATTTTTCTCAAATTACCCATGCAATGCAACCAAAATTCAAATAATATTTATTATCCAAAATAATTTTTTTCCAACAAAATATAACATAATCATATCCAATAATATGAAAAAACTAATATAAAACAAACAAACAATAAAAAATTACCAAGTTAATACAACACAAACAACTTATATACAAGTTAGAAGAAACAAAAAAATTAAAAAATTTTAAAAATAAAATGAAAATTTAAAAAATAAAAAAGTTAGAAGAAACAAAATATAGGAAAACACATTGTCTTAAAATTGAAAAAAACACAAGTTGTTGAGTGATAAACAAATATATTTTACGTTCCCAACTTCAAATCCCTCAAAATACAGCAGTCTGCCTTGTCCGCCAGTCAATTCCTCGTTGTCATCGTCGCATGAAAAAAGTTTGAACACAAGAGTAATTTGATTTATATTCTCATGTTCGACTAAAGAAGCTCTTAAAAAATTTGAAATCGATTATATAACAGGTTTCGATTACAATCTCCTTCTATACACGGCCGTGTTTTACAAATACACAGTCATGTACAAGCATGGCCTTTTAAACGGCCGTGTAGATAATCCTGGTTGCATCTCAAAGTTTGTGCACTTAATACGGCCATATAAATCTCTGAATTCCCAAAATGTAGTACAAATCTACACACAACCGTGTTAATATATTACACAGATGTGTATATTTCGGCAAGAACACACACAACGAAACATGGTTGTGTGTATTATGAACAAGTACTTATATCCATCTGGATTTCTGATAAATGTTAACATGACTTCGGACACGGACGTATTTGTCGTTGTGGCACAACCTATATATTGAGCATAGCCATTTATTTAACCTCTACGGCCGCTATGGTTGTGTTTTTTATTTTCTTTTTATTTTTTTAATTTTGTTGTGTACTTTACGATGTTTTTCAAACTTTAAAATAAATTACAATATGAAATACAATCAATATAATTTCTAATATATATGGAATTCAATCAAAACAAGAGAAGAAATTATTCATGCTAAGTAATCTAAAAACATGCCCAAAAATGATACTACATCAAAATATGTAAGGAAATACGATGTTCAAGTTATAAACTCTCATCATTGTAGAATTTTCTATATTTATTTATTATACTCCTTCCGTCTATTATTTAGTTATTTATTTTGCTATTTTCAGTAATTATATTTTCCAACTAAATAAAATATATATATTATGCTTTACACCATATTTCAAATAATGTCGTGAAAAAGCAACTAGATTTTTGGGTAAAAAAATATAATTGAAATTAATTTGAAATTTAGTGTTTATTTAAATTTTTGTATATAAATAATATTTTGACATAATATTTTATAAATATATATATATTTTCACAAAACATCCCACCAAAGGAGTATATATATATATATATATAAAGAGAGTGTGTGTGAGAGAAAAATAAATAATACTCCCTCCGTTCATTGAAAGGTTACCATTTTTCATTTTCGTTCGTCCCAAAACAAGGTTACTATTTTCTAATTTAGTAATTGTACTATCTACCTAACATAATAAATACATTTCAAATTTACACAATATTACATAAATGTCATTACTTTTATATTACACAATACTAATAGGGGTATTTTCGTCTTTTTCACTATAAATCATTATAATACTAATATTAAACAATCTACGTGCAAAAAGTAAACGACAATCTTGCACTAGGACGGAGGGAGTATGGTAAATATCAGCAGTAGATTCCAACTGAAAACTCATTATCAAATTTCTGTTAGCAAATACTCCATCCGCCCATTTTTTTATGTCCTATTTGATATTTACACGTATTTTTAAGTATTTAAAACTTTTTTTATAAAATAATAAATTTATCCTTAATTTTGTGTATAAAAAATAAAAGAGTAAATAAAAAAAAAAAATTTATGTATATAAATAAAAAGACTGTACTTACTTAGTACAGAGGGAGTACAAATGAACATACAAAATTCAAATTAATTATGTATATATATATATATATATATATACTAAGCAATGATCTCATCTGGATTACACTCCCTCAACACCAAATCCACTCTGTCTCCATCTTCAGCAACCACATCGCAGCATTCACATCTATCAATCTGCACGAGGAATTAAACCCATCCAATCCAAATCAATAAATTAATTTCCACAATTAAATCATCAATTATCCTTAATCCCATCGGAATCATTTAACTACAGCACTGTCCATTCATGCCGGTCGGCCGTACCTGAAATCTTTTAACGGCGGGTGAATAAACCCTAATTCTGGAAACCGAATCGGCGGAATGATTCCCGCCGGAGACACAACTTCCGATTCCCCCACGCGCCCACGCGCGAGAAAAGCTCGTCAGAATCTGATTCTCCGACGTCCCGTCGATCGTCTCGTAGAAGAACACGTGCGGCGCCTCGCAGGGGTCGCCGGAGCGGCGGCGCGTGTTGAACATGTAATGCGGCGGCCGGGGACTTCTGTTCCAGGTTCTGAAGGTCTCGATCGGGTACTGTAGATAACTGCGGGGCATTATCCTCTCGTAGATCTGCGCCGAGTACCCCCAAGAGATCGAAAACGTCCACCCGTTCCGCCGGAGGTGGCACACCGCCTGCTGCAGCATCCGGGACTGGTCGGTCGCCGCCGCCTTCATCAGGTGGCGCGTGGCGTCCGCCCGGTTTTTGCCGGGGAATATTGGATCCACCATGTCGAAGTGGTGGAGCGACATTAATGGAAACTTGGGGTGTGCCGACAAAAATCCCGATATGTCGCCGCGGAGATCGATCTAACAATAGTATTAACGTATACTTGTGAAAAGTACTAACACGTAAAATACACACAAACTTTTACAGTGTGTGTGTTTTTTTTCTATTATTTTGATTTCATTTTTCTTGAAAAATGATTTTTTTTTTTTTTTTCATTCTCTCGAAATATTAAATTAAACATTATTGATGTAAAATTTAAAATAAACAGCTTCTTAATTCACATAAATAAATAATACTAATAAAAATGGTAAATTGATTTTTTAGTCTTGTAATTGACCATTTTATCATTTTAATCCTGTAATCGGAGGTTGTCTTGAAACAGTCTCGTAAGTAAAAATTTTTCTCAATTTAATCATCAATGTCTATATGGCATCTGTGTGGCGGTTGGCGGACATGTGTCGGCCATATCAGCGCCACATAGCTAACATGTGTCGCCACGTGGATTATTTTTATTTTTATTTTTTTCAAATATAAAAATTACAATTATAAAAATTAAAATTAAATAAAAAATTTAAAATTAAAATTTAAAATTAAAAATAAATAAAATTATCTATATATTCGTTAAGTTAGCACTATGTGACTTTTAATAATTTATATATTAGTATATTTTTTATATTTTATTTTTATTTTTAATATAAGAAATATAAATTATCCACGTAGACATGTGGATAATTTTATTTTTAAATTTATTTTTATATATTTTAAATTTTAAATTTTAAATTTTAATTTTTATATATTTTAAATATTTAATTTTAATTTAATTTATATTTTATTAAAAAAAATATATATTCACGTGGCAGACACGTGTCAGCCACCTGGCGCTGATCTGACTGACACATGTCCGCTAGCCAGCCACGTAGATGCCACATAAGCATTGATGACTAAATTAAAAAAAAAAATTATATTTACAAAACTATTCTAAGAGAATCTCCAATTACGAAACTAAAATGATAGAATGGTCTAACTTAATAAAAATTACCCTAAAATATCTCACCACAATCACATTAGGATCATCAATGTTATAGTTAGAGCCGTAAATGAGTTGAACCTATCATGTTTGAGTTCCGATTATTCTCGAGTTTGGGTCGTGTTTGTTAAGAGATATAAATTGAAAATTTTGTTTAAACGGTTAGTTTTTATAATTTTTTTATATTCCCTCCGTTCCACATAATTTGTCCATATTTTTAATTTTCGTATGTCTCATATAATTTTTTTTTTAAATATGATTATACACTTTAACCATATTTTAAATTTATATTTTTTAATTTTTTTTAATCGTAACTAAATTATTTAGTTATTTTAATCTTAATATATAATTATTTTTACTATATAATAATTATTTTTACTAATACACTTCGTAGTTACTTACTAATTATACTTTACCTAAATTTTTGTGTCTACGGTAAAAAATTGTACTTTGGCCTAAAAAAACAGATCTGAAAAAATTCGGGTTGTGCCTGACCGAACACGAGTATTAACAGGATCATGTCTGGGCCTATCAAAGTCATGTTGTGTCTGGCCGAGTCCGATTTTAAAATTAAACAAAAAAATTAATATTTATTTTTTGTACGTAGATTTTAAATATTAGTATTATATTGGTTTATAGTTTAAAAGACAAAAATGCCCCTATTAGATTGTGATAAAAAATTAATGATATTTGTGTACTATATTGGAAGTTGTAAGGGTATTAATTATGTTAGGTAGATAGTAAATTACTAAATTAGTAAATGATATCTTTTTTTGAGACGGACAAAAATGAAAAATATATCCTTCTTATGAATGGAGGGAGTATAATTTTTTAAAATAATTTTATACATATATGAAAAAAATGAATTTATGTAAAAAATGAGGGTACAATTTAATTGTTTAATTGTTGTTTTACTACTATTAGGTCATGGTTCAATATTCACATTTAACTCGAAAGAAAATTATTAAAATATTTTAGAAAAAAAAAAAACAAAATTAAAAGTAAATAAATAAATAAAATCACGCAAAATGGGCCCACGGGCTGTGCTCGGGCCTAAGTTTTCAGAGTTAGAAACCGGGCCATGCCTCTCCGGTACGAAATGTTATGGGATTGGACTGGTCCAACATGAAAAAAATCAGGCCTCCCAAATTTGTCACCACTATTTTATACTCCCTCCCTCCCATAACTATGTATCTATTTGCTTTTTACACAGAGTTTTAGATATATTAGTATTATATTGGGATATATTAGAAATAAAGTAAAAATTTACTAAAATGACCTTATTAGTATCGTTTGATATAAAGGTAATGATAATTGTGTAATATATTAGAAATTATAAGGGTATTTGTAATATTAGGTAGATAGTACATTTACTAAAAAAATGAAATAGATACTTTGTTATGGACAGAAAAAAATGAAAAAATAGATACTTTTTTATAAGACGGATGAAGTATATAATTATTTATGCAGTTAATTTATTTAAAATTCAAAAATTTTAAGAGTAGTCCAAACTAATATATGACGTAATTTTTGTTGAAAAAATAATACTCCTCCGTCCTATTTAAAATGAGTCATTTGAAATTTTGTACTAGATAAATAAATACTCCCTCCGTCCCAATACAATAGTCTTGTTTACCATTTTTATTAGTCCCAAAAGAATAGTCTTATTTCCATAAATAACCATATCACTATAAAACTATTCCTATATTTTCATTATTATTACAGAATTGCCACTACTTTTTACACTAATATACTTACAAGGGCAAAAAAGTCATTTATCCTTATTTTTTACCAACTACAAATATAATATCAATATTCCTTAAATCTCGTGCTCAACGCAACAAGACTATACTTTTGGAACGGAGGGAGTAGTATTTTATTAACTAGTGAAAGTATGTAAACGGTTTTGATATTTTTGTCTATTGACTTTATGTATGAAGTAATTATACGTGTAATGATATATTTGTGGGTAACATTTAAATATATTTTGATATTAATATATGATTACTTTTACAAAAATAGAAAATTAATTTTGGAGTGGAAGAGACGAAAATGGTAAGAATGATACTTGAGTTTGGATGAAAAGAGTATTTCATTTCATATTTTTGAAAAATTAAATAATACCAAAATTTTCAAATAAATATATAAAAAAATACTCTCTCCGTTCACACAATTTATATTTATTTTTTCTTTTTTATTTATTCATAAAAAATATATATTTTTTATTTATAACAAATAACACTTATACAATCTTTAATTTATACTCTTCAATGTTGCATTTATTCACAAAAAGAATATAATTACTCGTACACTTACTTTAGTAATTTACTTATGTACTTTTCAAAATATTTTTAATTTATGTAACAATCAACAAATTTAGTACTATATTCATTATAAATGATGTCCACTCCAAATTGACATATATTAAGGGTGTGTTCGTTTGTAAGACTTTTTACAAAATTTTACTATTCATTCTATTTTTTCTCCCCAAAAATATCAAATCAAACACCTATTTTTCATTTTTTATATTATACTAAAAATAAATTTTACATTCAAAACATCATATCAACACCTATTTATATCACATCATACAACTATTCAAATTCAAAATTTTTACTATTCAAATCCCAACTCAAAATCCAAACCCCCAAACAAACACACCCTTAATGAACATAGGAGTACTAATTTTTTCATTAACAAACATGTCCAACTCAAATAAACTCATCAAGAAAATATTATTCTTTTTATCCAATAAATTTATATTTGTTTTCTTTTTCTCTTTATCCACAAAAAATATATACTCTATTCGTCCCACGTAATTTATTTATTTTTTTCGTTCTATATAATTTGTCCCTTTTTTTGTTTATAGAAATATAATTATACACTTTAACACATTTTAAGAACCATAATTTATATATATATTTATTTTAATTCAATTATTTAGTCATTTTGATTTTAATATATATTTATTTTTTCATATATATATTTTTAATTATTTACTAAGTACACAATATCTAAATCTTCGTACACTAGCTAAGGTGAACAAATTAGTAAGGACCAATGGAGTAATTTATTTTTAACAAATAACTTTTATTTTGCATATCCACCAACATTTATAACTCACTTATATATTCCTTCCTTCCGCAAAAATTAGAATATTTGGGTCTGAGACACATATTAAGAAAAATAAATATTTTATTGAGAATGTAATAAAAGTAAAAATGGTAGTTGAAGGTATTGTTGGAAAGTAGGATAGAAATTTAAAAAACAAAGAGGGAGAATATAATAAAGATAATTACATTTGTTTTTAAATAAGTGTTGAATAAAAGATAATAGTTAAATATTGATTGGTTAACTTTTTTTAAATTAGTCAGAGTAAATTTAGCAAATAGACTACAAAGAAAAATAAAAATAAATTTGGCTGAATGAGGGAGTACTTATCAAAAGATATTTTTACTTTACACTACAATTAACCAATAAAATATTACATTCATTAAAATTTATGTCAAACTCAAATGAACATATATTTTATGGACGGAGAGGGTATTATTTTTTTCTCTTAAAAAAATAACAGATATTTAAATTCAACATAAATAAATCACCATGTAATTAAAATAAATTACCTGATGAATGCCGTCGAGGGCGGTGAGGCTGACACCGATATCGGCAATGCAAGACATGGTATTAAGGTCCGCCGCCTTTAAACTCCGGTACCGATCGAGGCAATTTTCCATGTCTCCGGCGAGAACCTTAGCCAACGGATAGCTAAGAATGAATCCGGCGCCGCCAAATCCTTGGCTGAAAGAGTACCAATAATTGGACAGGATGAACTCCGAGTGACCCCCGATGTAATAATATTTCCTATGATCATAACGCCGGAGAATCTCCACCATATTATCGACGAAAAAAATCGAGTCATCGTCTCCCATTACAAGCCACCTGAGATTCTCGTCGTCACGATCTTCCCTGAAAGTTTCCATTATCCCATGAATGATCCTCTGCGCCGTCCATTCGGATTTTCCGAGGAATTTCGAGAGGTCGTCGGAGATCCTGTAAGGAGGGGAGGATTCCGGCCATGGCAGGAGGTCTTGGCCGGGAGCTTTGTCGAGGAAGATGAACCCGCGAGTGATGTTGGGGCGCCACCACGACTCGATGTAGGCTTTCCGGTGGCGCCACGCGCGCTCCGACCCGACGAGGCCGAAGACGAGGTGGCTGAGGTTGGTCGGAGAAATTGAGGATGTCTGCGGCGGCGACGACGGCGGCCATGTCAGGTACGAGGAGAATACGTCGGAAGGTCGGCGCTGGTAGAAATTGAAGAGGAAAAGGTAGGTGAAGGTGAAGAGAAGAGCTGCAAGAAAAAGGGGTTTTCTCATGCCGCCGGGAATGTCGATTTTGGGGGAGGGTTTGATCATTTTTTTCTGCAAGTTTTGTGGATATGGGGAAGATGATACCTGATCAGGTTCGATTTATACGAGGATTAGTGTTCTTCGTGATCTGTATCATTGTTGCCATCGATCATATATCAGCCTGTATGTGATCAAGAATCAGGAATTTGAATTTTACTGTACTGTTGCAGACTTTGAGTGATGAAGACGACGATGCAGAACAGAATTTGCAAAATTCCATGTGTACAATGCGTGTTATGTTAAACTGAATTAAATTATTACACACTATTTGAGGTATACACACGAGGATGAACTAATTAGTAATTTTGTAGGGGGGAATAAGGAAAATTAATTGTAATTTATGGGCAAAATATATAATAAAAGGGGAAAAAATAGTTTTGGTCCCAATATAATTAAAATTTATCAATTTTGGTTTTAATATAACCAAAATTTATCATTTTTTGTCCGAATATAAATATTTTATCAATTTTACTCTCAATATAACCAAAACTCATCATTTTTAGTCTAAATATAATCAAACCTTATTTTTTTGTCCTACTGTCAACAAATCAACGGAAAATGTTGATACGAGAAGAGGACAAAGTAGGAGCATTTCAGGAGATCATTTTCCTAGAGCTCCATACATAAGTGAAAATTTTTCTTGCAGTAATGCATCTCGAATGATGTTCAGAACTTGTCCGTACTCTGATACAGGAGATTCATACCAATGTTGGGAAGAGGCACAAAATGAAAATAAAAAGAACTTTGGAGGAAAAATGCTTTCTGAATATTACACTGGAATCCTTGTTGTCAAAGTGCGTGTAAATGGAGAAATGCAGAATGTAGAATCTGCATCGTCCGGTTCCTCTCCAAATAAGAGTTGCATGTCATCAATATTTTCCGTCGTTTTGTTGACGGTGGGATTAAAAAATATAAATTTTGATGATATTGAGACAAAAAGTGATGAATTTTAGTTATATTGGGACTAAAATTGATAAAAATTTTATATTGATAAAAAAATGATGAGTTTTGATTATATTACGACAAAAAATGATGAATTTTCGTTATATTTGGACAAAAAATAATGAGTTTTGGTTATATTAGAACCAAAATTGATGAATTTTGATTATATTGGATTAAAATAATTTTTTTTCCATAAAAAAATTAGTCATATAATTATTTCAAATTACAGATTCAATGAACGATGTAATCAAGGAACTATATCCTATATCGATTATAAAACCTAACTAAAAAAAAAAAAAAAACCAACCTAACTATATGCTGTAGAGTCTAGACTACTATTTATTTAATGTTTGTGAATATGCTAAAATAAAATAAAATAATATTATTGAGGTATCGAAGTAGGACACATGTGACGTGTGTTTGTTTTAGGGGTTTGGATTTTGAATTGGGATTTGAATAATAAAAATTTTGAATTTGAATTTTGTATGATGTGATATAAATAAGTGTTGATATGATGTTTTGAATGTAAAATTAATTTTTAGTATAATATAAAAAATAAAAAATAGGTGTTTGATTTGATGTTTTTTGGGGAAAAAAATTGGATGAATAATGAATAAATTCAATCCAATCCCCCGAACAAACACACAAGATTCGGTCCCATTTTTTCTGTCTATTATTCTGTTTCCATTAGCTACACTTTATTTTTCATTTTTTCTTTTGAAATATAATTATACACTATAATTTGTATTTTAAATTTCATCATTTATAATTTTTTAAATTTTAATTATCCAATTTAGTTATCTAAATTTTAACCAATAATATATTTTATAATACAATAATTATTTTTATTAATACATCTTTTAATTAATTAGTAATTATATTTTACCTAAATTATCGTGCCTACAGTTAGGGGTGAGCATTCGGATTTTCGGTTTAGATTTTTCCAAATCTGACCCGATCCGAAAATCCGATTTTTTTACAAAAAAAACAATCCGAAATAACATAAATCTGAAATTCAAAATCCGAAATCCGAACTAAAAAATCCGAACCAAACCGAAAAATAAAAAATTCTAAATATTTTTAATTATTTTTCTAATTTTTAAATTTTCTTTTAAATTTTATTATTATTTTATAATATTAAATATACATAATATATATAAATTAAATATATTAAAATATAATTAATAATTTCGAGTTTTTTTATATTAAAATATAATATTTTCTAATAAAATATTAGATATATGTAATAAAAAATATATTAAAATGTTATATTTTGGATTTCAGATTGGTTCGGATTTTAAGTATACCAATCCAATCCGATCCGAAAATTGTCAAAAATTCAATCCGAATTAATCCGAAAATACGAATCAAATTTTAAAATGATTTGGATCGAATTTTCGAATTTCGAATATTTTGCTCACCCCTATCTATCATAATATATAAACAATACATAATAGATAAGCATAGATAGCATTCTTGCATAATTATATAGTGTATGAATTAACTACACATTATAATAAATCAATACAATAGATATCATTATTTATAATTAATATATTAATTTTCTAATCCAAAATTTTAATTCATACATAAATAAATAAATAACTTACACTTCACTTAAAATGATCATCACACACATATCTTATTTTTCAATCTATTCCCTATACTTTCAAAATAAATATTTAATTAATTTCTTTCACATACTACTTATATATATATATATATAGTCGGGACTTTGTAACAAATACACACATGGATAGAAGGGGTATTTTCGTAATTAATCAAATTCGAGATGGATGCATTATTTCCGTAGTTAAATTAATAGTTTGGCAAAGCTACGTAGTTTGTGACCACGTGATTTCTTTGACAATTAATTAATTAATTATTTAAACTAGCTAGACAGCATGCTTTGTAGGTAACTGGCTTACAAAGTAATACTTCATCCCTCCACAAACTAATTTTCTATTTTTTTTTAAACACAAATTTTATATTTTTACATTTCGTTTATTTATTACTTTTAATCTCTACCATACACTTAAAGATAAATTTGTCTATTCATAAAAAAACAGACAATCACCTAAAAAACTGTGCAAATATACTTTAGAACAATAGAAATTAGACGGAGGAAGTATTTGCTTAATAGAAATTTATATGTAATTTTTTTTTTTTTTTAAAAAAAGGTACAAATTATAATTATAAAATTACAAGAATTACATATTAAAATTATTAAACAAACTCCAAAGTAACACACCGTTACTGCTGCTAAAAGTCAAAATTTAGGGGAGGCTGTCTACTTTTGATTTGCACGCAAAGAAACGACAAATTAAGAAAAAATAATATTTTATCTGTTTTAATACAATAGTCTTATTTATTATTTTTGTCTGTTCTAAAACAAAAGTCTATTTCTATAAATAACTATATCATTATAAAATTACACTTATTTTTTTTTTATTATTATTACACAATTGTCATTACTTTTTACACTAATATACTCACATACTCACAGGGACAAAAACAATTTTATTTTTTATTTTTACTTACTACCAATATAATATCAATATTCTTTAAATTCTGTGTCAAACGCAACCCAATTTATACTTCTAGGCCGGAGGGAGGGAGTAATATTTAGTCAACTGTTGAGGGAGGATTACTGGAGAACTAATTTTCGTTCAATCAAATTAAATAATTTATGGTTGTGACCGTGTGAAGATAGCTAAGGTTTGCTTCTTGATTTTGGAAAGTCTTTTTTTTTTTTTTTCCCAACATTTTACATTATTTTAGTTTGAAAAATCATCCAATTTTTTTCCTCGAAAAATATCAAATCAAACACCTATTTTTTATTTTTAATATTATACAAAAACTTGATTGTATATTCAAAACATCACATCAACACCCATTTATATCACAACATACAACTATTCAAATTCAAAAATTTTAATCATTTATTCTCTAAATTTATCAGCCTTCCTTTTTTGTCTGTTAGATAAATTTGTTTTATTATTAATTTTGACAAAGTTAAAATATCAATGTTTAATTAATATTTTTTAATTCAATATTTATTTATAACAAATATCACTATTATTATTACACATTATTCACATTCTTTTTTTTTTTTTATTCTCTTTAAATTTTCATAAATACCCGTACTAGTTTATAGTTTATTTTTATTTTTAACTTTCGTCCGCCTCACATATTTTTTTTTGTGAAATATAATTATATACTTTAATCATATTTTTAATTTTATATTTTATAATTTTTTAAATTTTAATTAAACTATTTAATTATTTTAATCTTATTATATAATTATTTTATTATATAATAATTATTTTTAGTAATACACGTCTTACTAATTATTTACTAATTATACTTTGCCTAAATTTTTGATTATACATCAATAGGTCCATGGTACATGGGACGAAAAGAGTAATATTTAATATTTTTTAAATAATGTGTTCATCCAAATAATTTTTTTTTTTATTAATATGTACTCATATATGTATACTCTATTCATTAATAATTTAAAATAAAATATTAAAATTATATTAATTCTACAATTTTCATATTTAATATAAAAATACTTCCAATTATAAAATCTAAGCAGATATGCTAAGATCCCAAAACAACTATTTTTATTTCAAAAAGTATAAAGTAAATTAAAAGAATACAAAAGAATGCCCCTTAAAGAGTATGTTTTGAAAAATGTATTTCAATAAAACTATAATGTTATTATATGAAATAAATTTAATAAAAAAAGAACTTTTGAATAAATAGTATATGTGAGTGAAAAATATAGGATATTGCAAACATACTCCGCATAACAAAACATGAAAAATTGAATAATTTTGAAATTATTTGAGAAATTTTTTGTATAATATCAATTGTTAAAAATATATATTTTAGCATGCCTTTTTTAAACTCAAGATATGATCGAACAAACTCGAATTGGTTAGAAGTGATCGAAAAAATAGTCAAGATTTTTCACGAACAAACTTGAATTTGCCAAGATTAACCGAAAGTGGTGCAGATGTCCACTAGATCAGAGTCAAAAGTAGAACTCTCAACACCGTTAAAGTTGGAAACAGGACTCGCTCGCTCATACCGGAAGTATAATCGAAAACAGGACTCGCTCAACTCTTAATAGAGCTACAGTCGAAAGGAAGACTCGTTCGTTCACAATAGAGCTAGAATTGGAAAAAGTACTCGTTCGCTTTCAATAGATGACCCCTTTAATAAATTTATTCATCTTAAATATATACTACAAAAAAATAGTATATTTGTAACGGAATTTTGTTCCTAAAGTTCACGTAGCTAACATAATTTCAT